TGACCATATAAGATGATGTTAAGTGAAATGAACCCCAAGATAGGGACACGAGTGTGGTTTTTTTTTTCTTGCTATTCTTTATAATGTGATTTTTTTTGTTTCTTTTGTATGTTCTCCCCCCATGGTATAACCCCTGTTTTCACTGTATTTGATTCCAGTGCCCTGCATCCTAGTATATACATTTTTTGGGGGGCGGGGTGGTCGTGGGGCTTGAATTCTGGGCTTGGGTGTTATCCCTGAACTCTTCAGCTCAAGGCAAGTACTCTACTGCTTGAGCCACTTCCGGTTTTCTAGTGGTTTTTATTGGAGATAAGAGTCTCATATACTTTCTTGCCCGGGCTGGCTTTGAACTGCGATCCTCAGATCTCAGCTTCCTGAGTAGCTAGGATTACAGGCATGAGCCACCTGTGCCCAGCTTTAATATATACATTTTTATAATTTGGGGAGGGGAAGAGAACTAGCAAAATGCTTAAATAAAGATACAGGTTGACCCATTGTAACAATGAGATGTACAAGACACTATGTTGGAAAAGAACTTTACAACTTGGTGGGCGGGGAGGGGAGAGGTAGAGAGAGAACGAATGGTAGGGGACAAACAAAGGAGGAGGTAACAATGCTCGATTGGATATGTACTCATTACCTTACTCAAGTAACTGTAACCTCTTGGTACAGTATTTTTACAATAAAACACATACTTAAAAAATGAACTATACAGCATGTGGTTGGGGACAGGAAGGGAAAACTGGGAAAGAGCAAGGGAAGGAATGACATTGTCTAAAAAGAAATTTACTCATTACCTGAGTTAAGCCACTGTAACCTCTCTATACATCACCTTTATAATAATAAAAAAATAAAGACATAAAATTTAAGCTGGCCACTGGTGGCTCATGCCTGTAATCCTAGCTACTCCGGAGGCTGAGATCTGAGGAGGGAGGTTCAAAGCCAGCCCAGGCAAGAAAGTTTCTGAGACTCTTACCTCCAATTAACCACCAGAAATGGGAACTGGTGCTGTGGCTTAAGTGGTAGAGCACTGGCCTTGAGCCAAAAAGCTTAGGACCAATGCCGGGGCCCAGAGTTCAAGCCCCACGACCAAACAAAACCAAACATTACCAAAAAAACCATGAAGTTTAGCTTCCCTCCCTCCAAACAAGTGCAGGAAATGGTACATAGCTGTATTTTTGTTAATTTACATATTAATTTCACTAATGCTTGCTTTAGAGAAAATGTAATTCCATCAACATGTGCTTCCTTTTTTCTTGTGGTTATGGGGCTTGAACTCTGGGCCTAGGTGCTGTCCCTCAGCTCTTCAGCTCAAGACAAGTGCTCCACCACTTGAGCCACAGCTCCACTTCCCGTTTTCTGAGTCGTTTATTGGAGATAAGAGACTGGGGGAGTTTCTTGCTGGCTTTGAACAATGATCCTCAGGTCTCAGCCTCTTCAGTAGCTAAGATTACAGGCATGAGCCACCATGGCCTAGACATATGTGTTTCTTTTTAAGTTTTTGTTATGTAAAGTTTCCAACATACCCATTGGAATGGTGTGATCTCTCATGTAGCGGTCAACAACTGCTCATCTTGACAGCCTCATCCCTCCCCCATTATAGTGAAATAAATGCCAGATAGCTATTTCGATTATACGAATTTCAGCATGTATATATAAAAGATTAAGACTTAAACTCATAACACCATTAAAAAATTTGGCAGTAATTCCTTTGTCATCTGTAACCCAAGCAACATATAAGTGTCCTGACTCATATTTTTCTTAAATTTTAGTTAATTGAAATAGTCATATATTACAGTTGGTGTTATTGGAGCATTTGAAAACACATTTCTGTTCCTTCCCTAAAAGTTTAGACAGTATTACAGATAATATAGTGAACAAGTATCTTTTATCCAGAATCATTTTCGCTTTTTACCACATTTGGTTTATTTTTCCGTGCTTATATATACACACCATTCCTTTTCAGCTTTGGAAAGTAAGTTATAGACTTCGTAACTAAATATTTAGGCACTGAATATTAGTTTACTGAATATTTATTTGTTGTCATAAAAACCAAGCATTCTCTTACTTAAGCAGATGTTGTATTTATGCAGCATTTTGTAATATGTAGTCCATACTCAGATTTCTCCAAAGCGTATTCATGTCCTTTATAAATTTATTCCTTAATTTTAAATCCAAGGCCAAGTCAAGGATCACAGGTTGTATTGATGTAATGTTTTATATCTGAGGTATCACATAGAATTGCTACTAGCCACAGGTAGAACGACCAAAAAGAAAAAGGAAAACAAAATAAGGTATTTGTTATAACAGCAAATGCCAAAGCTTTGATGCTTTTTGGGGGGTTGGGTGGGGGACTCAACTAATGTGGATCAAACCCAGGGCTTGTGCATAATAGGTAAGCACTCTTATCACTAAGTGTTTCCAGCCCTAATGAATGTTTTCTTGTTGAACTGTAGAAGCTCTTTATATATAATTTGCCAATATTTTTCTCCCTTTCTTTTCTTTTCTTTTTTCTTTTTTTGGTCGATCATGGGGCTTGAACTCTGGGCCTGGGCCCTGTCCCTCAGCTCTTCAGCTCAAGGCTAGCACTCTACCACTTGAGCCACAGTGCCACATCTGGCTTTTTCTGCTTATGTAGTGCTGAGGAATTGAACCTAGGGCCTCATGCATGCAAGGCAAGCATTCTACCACTGAGCCACCTTCCCAGCCCCATATACAGATGGTTTAAGTTGTTTTGTGGGGGGGGGGTACATGTACATGCCAATAGAGGGGTTTGAACTTAGGCTTCACACTATGACTTATGACCCATGGCTGAATAATTAGATTATAAATGTTATTTACTTAAGCTGGGCGATTGACTCATTCCTATTATAATAGCTAATTGAGAGATTGAGTTAGAGAGCATCAGGATTCCAGGACAGTCCTGTTTAGAACAGGTTTGGAGACTCTATCTCAACATAAGAAACCAGCCCAGCTGTGACAGAAAGCCTAAAATAGGGGATTGTGGTCCAGGCCAGTGCCTGGGCAGAAGCAAAAATAACCAGAGGAAAAAGAAAGGTCTGAAGGTATGTTTCAGCTCTAGGTGAAGAACCTGCTGAGCAAGCACAAGGCACTTCAAACCCCAGTTTGTTTGTTTTTTTTAAAAGCTATTTTATTTAAATAGGTAACTAGCACAGATAGCTCAGATTTAGACCATTTATCCTAACATTCTTTTTTTTTTTTTTTGTCGGTCGTGGGGCCTGAACTCTGGGCCTGGGCGCTGTCCCTCAGCTCTTCAGCTCAAGGCTAGTGCTCTACCACTTGAGCCACAGCCGCCACTTCCGGCTTTTTTCTTTTTGCTTATGAGCCAACTTCCCAGCCCTATCCTAACATTCTTGATTTACTTGTATTCTCATAATTCACTTTTAATTGCCAGGAATACATGGTGTTGTGAATAGGAATGCATTATGTCTCTCTTAGTAAATCATAGTAGGAGGCTTAATTAAGTTTGTCTTGTTTTTAGAATTCAAACCCCTTTTGAAGGATTTTTAGTTGTTTTTTCAATTTTCATTATTTTTTTGTAAAAAGAACTGGGAGTCCAAAGATAAATAAGATACATTTTCTCTGTTCTTAAGGAGTTTATAGGACTGGAAGTGTTGAGGAGATATGGCTGAAGTCATAGAATGCCTGCCTAGCAAGGGTAACAACATTTATAATCTATAGTCAGGCAATGAAAAATTAAAATCAAATAAAATGTGTTACACAGTAGGGAAGTTTAATGACATTAATGCAATTTCAAACATCTATATTGTCTGTGCTGGAGATAGGGTAGTAAATAAGACAAGCTACAGTTTTAGTCCTAAAGTTTAATGTTGAGTGGAAGGGAGCAGAAACTAAAGAAGTATCATGAGGGGCTGGGAATGTGGCTCGGTGATAGAGTGCTTGCCTAGCATGCATGAAGCCCTGGGTTTGATTCCTCAGTACCACAGAAATAGAAAAAGCCAGAAGTGGTGCTGTGGCTAATGTGGTAGAGTGTTAGCCTTGAGCAACAAGAAGCTCAAGGACAGTGCCCCCGGCCCTGAGTTCAAACCCCAGAACTGGCAAAAGAAAAAAAAAGTGTCATGAAAGCAAAATAGAGTTTGCATATAAAATGTTAAGTTACTATAGCTGGAGTTTTAGTCCACTGGTCCAGATTTGAAGTTTCTACAAGTTACATCTGGCCATTTGCCCCCAATCCAAAATAGAGAAGAGTTGTAGTGGAGGGCAGGGAAGGGGGAACTGTGGGGAGAGGTGAAGTAAGTACTTTAGCCCTTCTTCCCTGTGCAGACATGCGGTTTAGGTATAAGTGACGAAGAATGGTGGGGGAAGGGTTATGTGTAATTATTAAACAGTTGAGTCACAAGTATGGTCTGGTCAGAAGTGGTCTGGTTGCTTATTATCTCAGGATTGGTCAGACTGGGCCTTTTATTTGAAGAAAGCCTTTGTTACCTGGGTGGGGTAGTGTTAGGGCAGGGGGCTTCCATTCCTATCACAGGTGCAAGGTAACTGCAGAGAGACAAGAGATAGAAAATGAAGGCAGGATGCCAAGCTTTATCTTTCTAATTACCCTTCAGACATTTGCAGGCCCAACTGAGGAGTCAGTATTTTTCACCAAAAGCCTGTTACATTACTGATACTGAATTAACTTATTTGATAGTGTAGATTTATTTATTTTCCACAATGTCAGTGTATATGGTCCTTTTTATGTGTAAGTAAATAGTTTTGTAATTTAATTCAGATCTATAAACTATGTAATGCACTTCAAACCAAGATTTGTTTAATTAAGTGGTGAGCCTTTCCCTCTGAAACTGTAAAACCCTTAGGTTCTCTTCTTAAATTGTTAAAATCACAGGCTGATTCTAAGTAGTGACTATTTGAAAATAATATATATAGATTCTATATTTGGTGTATCATCTCTCTTTTATTCAAACTCTTTATGGGTTTATTCAGACTAAGCATTTTTCTCTCTTCTTCTCATTCAGAGATATACCGCATTGTTTCTCAGAAGCAAATGTCAGACAGACGTGAAAATGACATGTCTCCAAGCAACAACGTGGTTCCTATTCATGTCCCACCAACCACTGAAAATAAGCCAAAGGTGCAATGCTGTCAGAACATCTAAGGCGATCCTCTGCTCCCCTAGAAGGCTGTGTATAGTCCATTTCCCAGGTCTGAGATTTAAATATATTTGTAATTCTTGTGGTCACTTTTGTGTTCTTACTTACTTCCTCATACTTATAGATTTCTCCATGTCTTACGTCTCTTGATTTTAGCTTTATAAAATCATCCACTTTGTCCCGAATGACTGCAGCTGTTTTTCATGCTATGGCTTCAGTAGCCTTAGTTTAATAAACTGAATGTTTGAATTCCTCAATTATTGTTTACTTTTCATCATGGAAGCCTGTCTCTGTAGAACATAATAGAACTTGAAGCTTAGACCCACTGGTCTTGATGAAATCAAAGAAGATCTTAGAAACAAGTTATTATTTTGCCACAAAGCAGCTTATGAGTAATACACTTTTCTCAGTGCAGTGTATATTTTGACAAATACAAGAATTGCCCTATAAACATAACAGGATTTTGAGAGCTTGAAAATTTTCCATTAGTCTAGAAGTCACTTTCTAAAATGCCTTAATAAGTTTATGTAGTAAATTTTGGTTTTTAATTCTTGTAAGCATCAAAGCCGATTAAAGAGTGGGCTTTTTTTTTTTGTTTTTCTGAGCAAGAATTACCTTAAACACAAAGTCTGTTGTGGTTATGATAGGGGTATGGTTATGGGACCCAAAATCAAACAATGCTGCCTAGCAGGCTGGGAACTGGAGAGACTGGTGGAAATTGCATCTGAGGTGACTGCTGCAGTGCTCAAGCAGCCCAAGTAATTTATCTGAGTTCACTTCCCAGCAGTAGATTATGTGGCATTTTATTGCTCATACAATAACTGGCTTAATGCTGGTAATATCAAATTTTGAGATGTTAATTTTCTTTTAAAACCTTTCCAGTATGTGAAATGCAACCTACTTTTATCACTATATCCACCAGCAAGCATGGATAGTTATTTTAACAATGCTAATATTTGAGGTTTGCAGTGTACTGTGGGATACAGTCCAGTTAGATCTTTGGTTTTAGTATGTCTAAAGAATCCAGTGAGAGGTTAATTTATGCTTAAGTGGTACCACTTAAAGGCATGTATTCTTTTAGTATGTAAAATGAAATAGTACTTTGAGTTTAAGTAGAATGCACTTAGGCATTATAGAGGCCTGGAATAATTTTTTTCCACTACATAATTGCAATCAATGGAGTAACTAGTTTCTCATTCAGAAGTATGCACACTAACATTTAGTTTTACTTCCTTATGGATAGTATTAAGCACTTAATCTGCAGTTTTCTATAAGTTGTCACCTGTAGGGATACTATTCAGGATGATGGGATATCCAAGGAAAAAATATATACATGTAGGCTTGCGTAGATTGCTGCATTTCCTAATTAATCTCCTGTCTTTTGCGGTGCTCATGATGTGTAGGGCACACGGAAGGCATTGCTATAGTCAGTCATTCCGGCTTTCTTTTGTAGTCCTTTTATTATTTTAGTGTATTGGTTATAAAGATACTATTGTCTGTTTGTAAATTGCCACTTTGTATTTTATGCATGCTCTGTAACTTAATTTTTTTAGTTATTAATTTGGAATATATTCTCATCTAATAAACAGTTATAGGGGGACTGACTATTCCTTACGTTGTCAGATTATATTTTTCCTAGTACACTGGGTATAGCTGTGGAATACTTGATTCTGATGAGTAAGAACATAGGTCATTGCATTACGGAGATAACGTAAGAGTTGGAGGTGTCAGTGTGAATTCAGGTTTGATTTTAGACCTGTAGTTCAAGTGCACTTTTCTTGGGAAAAGTATTACTAGAAATATTAATGAAGAAGTCTATGTATGTTAAATGTTCTCAGACCCAGGAAAAGGCTCCATCTGTTTTATTCAAAATTGCTAGTATTTTTTTCCCACAAAATTACTTTAAAAAGAGAAAGTAAGTAATGAATCACAAATGAACAAAGTAACTTTTAATTTTTACCAGGGATAAACTTAAATATTGCTTAAGCATGGTTAGATTTTAGCATTCCAAACAACATTAGGTATAGAAAATGACTGCATCTCAACAAGTCTTTCTTTTGAGTAGTCCCTCAGAAGACAAATTGTCTTAGAAACAGTTTTACAATGTTATCTACCTGGAGCTGGGAAGGTGGTAGAGTGTTTGCCTAGCATGCATGAAGCCTTGCGTTCATTTCCTCATAAACAGAAAAAGCCAGAAGGCAATGTGGCTCAAGTGGTAGAGTGCTAGCCTTGAGCAGAAGAAGCTCAGGGACAGTGCCTAGGACCTGAGTTCAAGCCCCAGGACTGGCAAACAAAAAACAAAAAAACACTCTGTCTGTCTGTCTGTCCTATCGCTGGTCCTGTGGCTTGAACTCAGGGCCTGGGTACTGTCCCTGAGCTTTTGTGCTGGAGGCTAGTGTTCTGCCACTTGAGCCACATCTCCTTTTCCAGCTTTTTGGTGGTTAATTGGAAAATTGTCTCAGGGACTTTGCTGCCCAGGCTGTCTTGAACTATGATCTTCAGATCTTAGCCTCTTCAGTGGCTAGGATTATAGGCATAAGTCATCAGCTTTTCAGTTACTTTAGCTCTGAGTCCTTCTAGCCTGTTGTCTTCTCCTGAATAGTCAGTTAGCCTTACAGTTTTACTTAAATTTGTGTCATTGTTCTCTAAGTGTGCTCTGTGGTATTCCTTTAATAGTGGTTGCCACTATGTAAGGGAAATTGCATTGAGTACATCAGAATTTTAAAGCGAGGGACCAGCTGGTGACTTTTTCCATAGGTCTTTTAAGTTCCAAAGTGTTTTGTTATGCACATAAAAGTTAGACTTCTTCAGAGTTTGGATAGCATCAGAGCTAGTCATATTTTCTTTTACCACTGGGAAAAAAGACCATCTTAGTTTTTGTCTTTACTATCATATTTAGATTGTTAGGTTTTTGATTTACGGAGTTTCAAATGTTATTATTTTAACATGGGAGAAAATGAAAAATGATTATCTGGTATCTTTACACAACATAAATTTGACAAAGTTCAAGCTGGAATGTAAATTTTGTTTAGGATTGTGTAAGTCCTCCATTTGCTATGTAAAAGAAACAGAAGAGAGTCTGAAAGGCGCACTTTCTAACACATGAATTATTAATGGGTTAGCAGAGCACCAGACGGTGCTCTGATACTGGTGCTGTAAGAGAGACCACATTTTCCTCCTGGTTGGGGCAGTTCTGGTTCCATGTCTCCTTTTAGGATGGACAGGTCCCACCTTTCCCACGTGCCTGTCCAGTATGCCAGATAAACCTAGGTTGTCATTCTAATATTTAAACTGGTTGTGTTCTCCCAAACTGTGGGCTGATGGCGACAATAAAGTGGTAGATAGGGCATGCTAATGTTGCTCTACCTATGTATAGAGACTGTTAGGCTCAGATATAGTTTTAATAGCGGGTGTCCATTTTCCTGAAAATTGAGCTGAAGAAAAAGAATATTTGAAAGAATGTTGCATCCTAGGCATGCATTGACAATATGCTAAACTCTGTGTGAGTGAAAATATTGAAAAGTAGCTAGTACATACTGATTGTAGTCACAGCTTTTGTCATCTCTGAGCTCTTGTTCTTCCAACTAGTGACAAGACAGGGTTAGATCATGGCTGGGGGACATCCCAACCTAAATTCTGTAATTACCTGAATGAGCCCTCTTCAGGTGTCTAAGGCCAAATTGTAATTTCTAACTCAGTTTTTTAATTTACAGATAAGTATGCACTTTGTAAAATGCTTTTGGTTTTGTTACAATAAGTGGATTAAAATGTTCTTTATTTCCATGTTGTTTCCATTAAATAAGATGAAAGTTTTCAAAGTATTTGCAAAATGCCAATTTAAAAAATATGTACCCAAGTATGGGATATGCTGGGGGAGCACTGGACGAGGAGGAGTGCTGTCAGCAGCAGACTGTTAAAGTTGTTAAAATTTTGCTGGCTTTTAATGTGTACTTTAAAATATATTGGGACGGAACTTAAAAAAATTGTATTTCATTTTTTAAATGATCTCTTTAATAGGAATCTACAAGAAGGTAGATCAGTCCACAGAACCAGCTATCCAATAGAACTAGTGATTAAACCCAAGTTTATGTGTGCTCACACATTATATAAAGTACAGTTTGGGAGTGTTCATGCAATGTAATTAATTGTACCAGCAGTATTTGAATTCAGTTTAAATTGAAGGCTTGACACAGATGTGAATATAAAATGTTATATATTCTGGCTGTTAAGTACTCTTTTTCTAGTACCCTACTATGGTAGTAAAAATTCATAGCCAGTAGGATTCCTTTCCTGTTTTAAGTCACGGGAACTTAGCCTTTCTTTCAAACCATAAGGTCTCAGACCCTGTTACCTTCCCCATCCCACAGAGTAAGAGTACTGTGTTTAGCACCCATTCCCCAATAACCTCTGGTCTCAGCGTTTGTCACATGTCTCTAGGGAAGTGGTGTGGTCCCTTGTCATATCTTTGAGAGTCTGTTAGCCTTTATGCTGCCCTCTCTGCCAAAGCTTTTTGTCACATGGGTCCAAGGATATTATGATAAGTGTCTGAAATTGTCTGAAATGAAGCAATACTGTTTCTGTGGGCTTTGATGTGAAATCAACTCTGGAGGAGAGATAGGTAGGGTCTTTAGATAACTACATGTTGTTTACATTGTAATGACACCTAAAATAATAGTAGTTTTTAAGATCTTAGATCCTCCCCGCTGGCTCTTACAAACTCTGGGATAGACAATTTTTGCTCGGTAAACAGTGGCTTGGAAGGCAGAAGTTAGAATGAGAAAGAACTCTGACAATGGAAGCTGAAGATGAGAGTTTTCACCTTCTGTAGGTTTGTCTTGGACCACTACTCGGTCTTTATAGCTCTGCAAGTCAGGGAAGAAAATAGTCAGTACCCACTAATTACCAGGGCCCTCCATTTAAGATCCACAAGGAGAGGAAATATGCTTTGCTTATATTTACATCACTGATTCCTCCACAGTCCTGTCAGAACCATTACTCATATGAAAGTGTGAGTAACTGCATAGTGAAGCCCCATACAGCCATCAGTCCATCCCATCTGTTGCAACAATATAAAGGGCTTCCTCCACCTTCCCTTTCCTATTCTTGGATCTTCTTTTTTTGTGTGCCAGTCCTGGGGCTTGAACTTGGCCTGGATCTAATCCCTTTTGTGCTCAAGGCTAGTGCTCTACTACTTAAACCACAGTTTCATTTCCCACCTTTTTGGTGGTTAATTGGAGATCAGCGTCACCGGGACTTTCCTGCTCACACTGGCTTTAAACCTTAATCTCAGTTTCCTGAGTAGCAAAGATTATAGGTGTGAGCCACCAGTGCCCTGTACATTCTTGAATCTCCTTGAGTGCAGAAACTGCAGTGTTTGGCCTTTGTTTATCAACCTTTTCGCCTTATTTTCAAACCTCTATTGGGATAATTTTCACTTGATCACACAAAAATGCAGGTTAAACCTGAAGTGTAGATTACAGACACATTTTTAGTTTGCAGCACAACAATAGATATTCTTCTTAAATTTGAGAAATTCATTTTATTTTTGTACAGGTACCATCCCTCTGCAAGTGAACAAATATATTACAAATCTGTGGTTTTAAAAAAGTATTGCCGTGTCTTCTTACACTATTGTACAATCATTGTGTTTTCCTTATTTATTTGAATTGTATGCATATTGATTGACTTGGTTGAAAATTTAATTTCTGAAAAATAATTGAGTAAATCTTTCCATATCACCAATAAAAAGCACAGTGCACAAGCTTAGGCTGACCACCACCCTCTTTGTGACTGCTAAACAGAAGTTTCCAACAGTTGTTCTGTAAAATAGAAATGTCTTTTACCACTAACTCCTAGGCAAAGTGAAGGCAGCCACAGATTAACCACACCTTCTGCCTTTCCCTTCTCCTGTTGCCTAATTGAATTGTATTACATGACTTTGAAACTCTTGGAACACTAGAGCTGAAGGGGTGTGAGAGCTCCGTATCACTCTCTGCTTCTCCCCTTTCTCATGCATGGGGGGGATAAAGAGCTGTGAAATCTAAGACACACAGTACTCTAGCTATTCTACCTCTTGATTCTGGATACTTTTTGCTTGAAGGCAGTTGCCAAGAGGTGAAACTTGAGCGATGCTGAGTGTTTATAGTTTGCCAGTAGCAGTTATGTTCATGCAGGATAAGGGAAGAAGATAAGACCTGGGATTGAAGGTGGCTTTTCTCCTTGCTGATCCCTGTTTCACTGCGGCCTTGAAATACTGAGGTAAGTCTCTTACCTAGATTCCTTCCACATATGTATGAGAAATATTTACTTGGGTCTATAAAGCAGTTTTCTAGTATTTATATTTTAATAAGGCTTATTTTGGGGAAAGTAAATTCTCTATTGCTGATCACTCGCTTCCATGCACACATGCAGCATTCATGTAAGCATTATATAGTTTCCTCTAAAGCTAACATTGCCTTATGCCTTGAGTGAAGTGTAGGGGTAGGGTGAGGATTGGCTAAATTTATTTTCTTGCTTTTGCTGATTATTACCCAAACTAATGGAGTTCTATGGTTGACCCAATTTGTAACAAGGCTTTCAGAACTCCTCTACTTCCTATAGCAGTATTCCAGTTTTATAGTCATTTAGTTCATCTTCTATAGACTCAAAAAGTGTCAGTAGGTGTTTTTTTTGTTTTTTTTCACTGCCTGGATTCCTAATGAGAGAAAGGAATGGCCCAGAGGGGCCATTAGCTTCTCTGGTTTGCCCTTTATTTTTGGTTGGTTGTGAGGCTTGAACTCAGGGTCTGGGCACTGTCCCTGAGCATTTTTTTTTTGCTCAAGGCTAGCGCTCTACCACTCTGAACCACAGCACCACTTCTGGTTTTCTGGAGGTTAATTGGAGACTTTTCTGCCCAGGCTGTATTTGAACCGAGATCCTAAGATCTCAGCTTTCTGAGTAGCTAGGATTATAGGTGTGAGCCACCTAAGCCTGGCTGCCCTTTATTTATTTATTTTTTAAATTCTTTCTTTCTTTCTTTCTTTTTTTGTCAGTCGTGGGGCTTGAACTCTGGGCTTGGGCGCTATCCCTGCGCTCTTCAGCTCAAGGTGAGCGCTCTACTGCTTGAGCCACAGCACCACTTCTGGTTTTCTAGTGGTTAATTGGAGATAAGAGTCTCACGGACTTTTCTGCCAGGGCTGGCTTTGAACCTTGATCCTCCGCTCTCAGCCTCCTGAGTAGCTAGGATTACAGGTGTGAGCCACCGGCGCCCGGCTTTTTAAAAAATTTCTGCTAAGGGATCCTCTCAGACTCAGGAGTTGGCTCTGTTTGGAATCATCCAGGCCTCAGTTTATGTAACAGGAGGCATAGATGTATGTTGAACACTGGGATCTGGAGCCTAAGAGCCACGGAGTACATATATATCTGGCTAGCTCAGAAGATGGTGGTTTTAATGTAGAAGCATTTCATACTTTCATGTGCTGTTTAAAGTTTTTACATTGCATCCCAGCAACTGGTTATAATGCTTTCTTTGATCATTGATTTCCATCAAAAAGCATAACGTACATTAAGCAACATAAACTAGCTTGCTGTGTCTATCTTTGTATATATCAGGCTCACAGCTGATGAAGATTGCCTGAAAGCAGGTGCCTTTCTGAGTCAAGGAGGCCTATTAAATAAACTAGGGAGGCAAAATCTCTTGTTTCTAGGCAGAGGTAATCCTTCCATCTCAGGTGTTGAATGAACTAAGTCCATGTGACAAGGTCAAGATAGACTTGTAATATTCTGAAACTGTAAATGAAAAATTGGGTAATGCTGGCCTAGAAATCATTGTAGACTGGAGGAAACTGGTGTACTTGAAGTTCCTACTCTTTTACCCCCTGGCCTTTCATTTTTCTTACTGTCACTGATGGGGCATATTTATTAAAACCCTGTTTTAAAACAGAAGAGATCAACATTACACTATGCCTTAAATTCTGATCTTGGCCAATGTAATTTGATGTATGAGACCCAAATATACAGGTAGTTTAGGATCAACACTACATAGCTACATACTCGTTGGCTTTAGCCAACTACAGTGAAACAGGTGTTAACAGTCACAAACCAAAAGCACATACACATTTTGGGTGCTTTTCAAATGATCCTGTTTCCTCCCCCATACCTTTTTTTCTTCTAGAAAGATGTCCAAAACCTCTAATACATGCTTATAAGCATCATGTTTCCAAATATTATATATATATATATGTATTAGCTATATTTAGCTGATGTTGATAAGCAGTGGTACCTTATATGCTTAAAAAAAAAGTCATACAATCCAGGGCATTTGGGGGTGGGCAGGAGATGGGTGAGAGGATTTGCCCTTCTGAATGTATGTCCTTGAACCATCAGCCCAGTCCCACTTGGAAGCTCTTCTTTTGTTCCAGGTGCACATAATAACTAACCTGCAGCTGGAGTCAATCTGCACCGTTATTTCAAGTCAAGGGATTGTCTTCTTTCGTGAGTCAGAGAAAGTTCAGCAGAGCACACTGCAAGAGAGAAGCTCATCCCTCTTACGACTGCATGTCCCGGGAGGACCCATTGGCAGGGCTCTGTCTTACTGGGAGGAGGTCATAATGACCAGGAATATGGCTGTTCTTAGGTAGGTCGTATGGATTCTGGATATAGCTGGAGTTATGACCGAGGCCTTCTTGGACCACACTGATTGTGGGCTCTAAGGAATATAGTGAAAAATGAGTTCAGAGAACAGATTAGCTTTGGTTGCCTTGTTGAGAGGGAAGAGAGTTTTGTTTTCAACTGGTGGGGAGAAGAGCTAAGGGTTTATGAATCTATGACAAACTGGAGAATTGGGACTGAAGCTTGCTCAAGAGATGGAAAACCAGGGGAAGGGACTGTGCTATCAGAATCCCAGCCCCAGGTCAACACCAAGAGAATTAGGATGCCTTAGAGGCAGGCTCTTCTCAATGTGCCCAGAAACATAGTTTAAATTGGGAGAAGGTAGAAAAAGGTGACTGAGAAACTTGCAAATACCAGTTTTGACTGTTTCCTTTTTCAAACCGGAATTTCTGTCAATTGTATGTAACTATTTCCCACACCCACTATTTCTGCTTCAGATAAGTTGCAGTAGTTTTTCCCAGCGGAGCTGGCACACAATTTTGATTTCCTGCATTAGTGGGAGGGCAGTCCTGGACGAGACAGGTTTCACCTGGGGGATCCTTAAGAAAGCAACCGAGGAAAGGTGATGTCAAGGCAGGGTAAGAGTAAAGGGCTGGCTTGCAGGTGATGCTGCACTATTGTCCTGATTTGCACTGCGTCACTTATTCGAGACACCTACCAACTTCATATATATTTTTATTAGATGTCGACAAGGATGGCCCATCTGTGTACGGAGACCCCCTGTGCATAGGTGACTTCATTTCTACATAGCTGCTTTCTGGAAGCTTGCAGGTGAGGATGGGCGGGTCCTTAATTGTGGCGTAAGGGTTTTCACTGCTATTCAAGGAGCAAGTACTAGAACTGCACGCGGAATCTTTCATGTAATCTGCAAGACAAGAGAGATTTCTTAGGACAAGCCAGGACAAAAGTCTTCACTTAAATACTAGAGACTTTGGAGTTCAGACATCTTTAGGTTCCTGGGACCTGAAGAGCCTCTGGTAATGGAGGATTTATTTGCCTGTTAAATGTCTTAAGGAATACTTGCTTAAGGAGGCAGAGCTCTTTTCCCACAGACTTAAATTCAAGATGTTCATGGTACTTTCATATAGATTGTTTTGTTGGGTTTTTTTGTTTTTGTTTTTGGCCGGTTCTGGGGCTTGAACACTGGCCTGGGCACTGTCCCTGAGCTACTTTTTTGGTCAAGGCTAGCACTCTACCACTTGAGCTGCATTCCCAGCCCCACTGTTAAGGGTTTTTTGTTTTTTGGTCAGTCATAGGAAATTTGGGTGCTGTCCCTGCACTCTTCAGCTCAAGGCAAGCACTCTGCCAGTTGAGCCATAGCGCCACGTCCAGCTTTTTCTGCTTATGTGGTGCTGAGGAATGGAACCCAGGGCCTCATGCATGCAAGGCAAGCGCTCTACCACTGAGCCACCTTCCCATACCACTGAGCCACCTTCCCAGCCCATAGGTTTTTATTTTTACAAATGATAATTTCTATTTTATGGGATAAAGACCCAGAGAAATAAAGTGATTGGCTAAAGGCACACAGCAGTAAATATCAGTGCCAAGTCCTGAACCCATGCATTGTGGCTCCTTGGCCTGTGTTTTCTGTGCTATTTTAATGAGTTTTCTGATGATTAGGAAGGAAGCTTTGGTTCAGAGGAAGCTAGCAGATGTGTGTTAGAACAGATGTCAGGAAGTTAGCAACTTTTAGGTGGCAAAATTAGTGCTATCCCTACCTGCTAACAGGAGCTCTGGACAAGTTGGAGCAAATGAAGCATATTAAAGATGTAAAAAGCCTCTCAGTCGCAAGTTAGCCCTGGGGAAGTTACTGTTACCTAGTCGGGGCGTGGGGAGCATACTGCTCCCTAGTTCTCATTACTGCTCTCGGAAACCTTTCAACAGTGGCCTTCTTGGGTTTTGGAACTTCTGCTTTCTCTCCTGTCTCCTCTCTGAGCATCGTATCCAAGGCTTCAGGGTACAAAGAGATGCAAACTGGTTTCCAAATATGAGACAAAGGTCCCCTTAGAGTCAGTGAGGGAAATGGGACTTCTTCAACCACTGTACCCTTCCTCTTTAAGGACGGTCAGTGCCTCCTGTACACCATCCCAGGTGAATCAGGGCCTACCTGGAAAAAGCAATAAACTTGCCTGACAGCTCTGACCCTCAGCCAAGAGGCTCTTGGCAGACGGTTCCTAAAACAGACACGGAATTTACAAGGGCTTGACAGTCAAGAGTGATTTAAGAGTTTTCCCATCTCTAAATGTGTAAAAGTGAGTAACTGGGGAACATTTTTGGACATCTTCCACTAAAACTATCATGGATGAACATTTGGGGTTGATAACTTATCTGTACTTTTTAATCTCAGCTTGGGAGGCTAATGAAAATGTTAAAAGGTGAAAGTAACATAGGGAGGAACCAGATGTGCCAGGGAGCCGTGGGGGTGTCACCCCGTGTGACTGAAGTGATTGAGATGTGTGCTACCATGAGGAGTCTGAGTTTCTGTCATAACTGGTTGGGAGAGGTTTTAGTTTCTATTAATGTAGGTATCTCTTGGGCTATTTATTTTAGCAAGCAGCATTTCCTCAATCTTATACAAAATGTTTTTACCTGTTTGTATTTCCAGGTGTTCACAATGCTCTATACTATGTAGACCAGTAATTATTTTCCCCTTTCCCTGCCTTATTGCTTATAAGTAGAGAATTGACTTGCTCAGGTCACAGCAAGTTCTAGAACAGGCTCTCTTCCCACAAGTACGAGAGATGTTGGCTTGGGTCAGGTCTTAGATTATGACCTCTGGAGCATGTGCTGGAGAGGAGGAGAAAGCATTGTTGTGGACAGTAGTTTCAGTGAGTTCCAAGCAAGGACTGGAAGAGGCTCGAGAAGCCAGCTGCTGGCGAAGGGTCACGTGGGGCCTGGATCACCTGCTTGCCCCAAGCCAAGTCACTGCTTCTCAGTAGGTAATTTGTTTCTTGGTGGCAGAAAGTGGTGGTAATTTTAAATCTAGAGTACTCACGGATCCCAATTTGGATTCTCTGCACTCATCAGCCAAGAAGTAATGGCTCAGGCCTTGTTGTTTGAAAGCCTTATGTTACTTTAAGGCCGTGATTGGTTAGTTACTTTTTTCTTTCAAATTTGTAGAATAGTGATAGCTTACTCTTTTATAGTATTTAGTCTTCAATGAGTCACCAGCAACTTGTGTCTGAACTGGGCAGGGCAGGAAGGAATGTTGATAAGAATGTATGTTAGGAAGGAGTGGAGTTAGGACTTCTATTGCTGTCTCCTTTGATAAACAATCTAGATGTTTTTCCCTCTGAGGATCTTGTTACCCAAAGCTCTGCTCCTTATCACTGAATGGGTCACTTGCTGGGGGAGGGCCCTCAGTTTCACCTTCTTGTCGTTATCCTGGGATTGATTAAGCTATGGTGATGGAGGCTCCTTAAAGCTCTAGCTCAAAGTCTTAAAAAAAGACCCTCAGTCAGCTGATGGTACTCTGTTTGCATTCACCAGGGCTGCTTTCAAGATTTGAAACATAGGGGCTGGGAAGGTGGCTCAGTGGTACAGTGCTTGTCTTGCATGCATGAGGCCCTGGGTTCGATTCCGCAGTACCACATAAGGAGAAAAAGCTGGAAGTGGTACTGAGGCTCAAGTGGTAGAGTGCTAGTCTTGAGCTGAATTGCTGAGGGACAGTGCCCAGGCCCAGAGTTCAGGCCCCACGACATACACACACAGATTTGAAGCATAAATTGTATTTATCTAGAGAAGGAGATACACCTGAATGATTTAAAAAAAAAAAAAAAAGCTAGGTGGGGGATGGAGGTTAGGTTCAAGAGCTAGTGGAGAGACTGAATGGCTTAGAAAAAAGTTCCAGAGGACTGGGAAGGGCCTGGCCAGTGGGAAAGCTCCACCTTCTGGAAGCTACTCTCTGCTGAGTCAGCCACCTGCCAGTCTGCGGGGGAGGGTAGGGGAATAACCAGCTGGCTTAGATACTTCCTCATCCTTACCACCCATACCCACCCCAGTCTCTGCCCTGCAGGGCATTTTGCCAAGAAAGGGAAGCTTCCACTCTAGCCACCCTAGTTGGAGGGAGTCTCTTCTTGTTGGCCTGTAATTAGCATGAGATCTGAAGGCTTTGTCCAATGAAGTCCCTGGCATTTTGCTCACATTAATTCCTACTTCCTGGCAAACACCAGGTAGTTCTATGCTATCTAAGACGCAAGGGGCTCCTAAGATGAACCCAAACATCTTAATAAAGAAGCACAAATCCTGAGAGGAAATGACTTCCCCAACCTACCGCGTGAGTGGAAATCTGGAATTGTGTACTGATATCCAGTTAAGGTCCCACTTACTTAAATGTAGAGGGAAACCCAGACACATCTTTCTCTTGCATCTAGGATACTAGAGGCCACACTGCCTTTTCCTTTCCAGATCCATAAATCAGCATCCTTCTTTAGACGGAGAGTCAGACCATGAGGAGAGGGAAGAGGTAGTCTGGGGTCAGAAGGAGAATACTGGCTATGAGTTACGGGATCCTAGCTCAGAACCCAAGGTTACTTCAAGGAGAGACATAGGAGGAAAGTGGCAGCCACCTATGAAAAGAGGTTGGAGGACTGGGAATGTGGCTTAGTGGTAAAGTGCTTGCCTAGCATGCATGAAGCACTGGGTTCGATTCCTCAGTACCACATACTCAGAAAGAGCCGGAAGTGGCACTATGGCTCAAATGGTAGAGTACTAGCCTTGAGCAAAAAGTTGTTCAGGGGGGCTGGGAAGGTGGCTCAGTGGTAGAGGACTTGCCTTGCATGTATGAGGCCCTGGGTTCGATTCCTCAGCACCACATAAGCAAAAAGAAAAAACCGGAAGTGGCTCAAGTGGTAGAGCGCTAGCCTTGAGCTGAAGAGCTGAGGGACAGCGCCCAGGCCCAGAGTGCAGGTCCCATGACCAGACCCCCCCCAAAAAATAAATAAAAAATAATAATAAAGAAGTTCAGGGACAGAACCCAGGCCCTGAGTTCAAGCCCTGGGACTGGCCAAACAAACAAACAAAAAAGGTGCTGGAGAACAATGGAGGGTTTCCTCTCGAGTACTTAGAAATGCCTGCTAGACAAGCTGAACATGAAGCGGTTTACTGTGTTAAAGTGGAGAATGGGAGACAGAGGGTGTTTAGTGTGTAAATAAATAGCCTCACTCAGCCTCCGCAGGACAGTGAGTAGAGTAGTAAGTACCAGGAAAAAGAGTGGACACTAACATTTAGATGGTCAGAACTGGAAAGGGCCTTAGAGATGGTGTTAATAATGCCTTCCTTTGAGGTGGGGGTAGGGGGTGGGGGCCAAGTAATGAGGTTTGAGCTTGGAGCCTGCTAGGCAGAGATTCTACTGCTGAGCCAAACCTCCAGCCCTTTTTCCACTGGTGGTTTTTGAGATTGGGAAGGGAGGACATCTCATTTCCAGATATGTGCCTGGACCTCAATGTTCCTATATTGTTTCTTTCTTTCTGTAGCTGACATGATTGTTGTGCATCATTATGCTCAACTTCTTTTTGTTGAGACTGTTACAAACTTTCCTGACTTGGCTGGCCTAGAGCTACTATATCCGCCCCTGCCACCCCCACCCCAGTCTTAGCTAGGATGACAAATGTGTGTTACCACGCCCAGCTATTGGTTGAGAACTTTCCCCCAGGCTGGCCTTCAATCAAGAGCCTCCTGAGTTTAGCCTTCCCACAAGTAGCTAGGATTACAGGTACGAGTCCTCGGTGCCCAGACAACCCTTTCCTTTTTAAAGAGAAAGAAGCCAAAACCCCAAACAGTGCTGTGTCAACGCCACACAGCAGAACTGAAGCACAGATCTCTTTCACCTATGGACTCTCAACTTTTAGCAGTTCTAAGAGTTGATTTGTCTTTGAAACTTCAGGAAATAGTTTAATGCATGGTACAAAGCAATTACACAACAGCATCTATACTGTGTACTTCTAAGTACATTTTTTGTTGTTGGTGGTTGTGGGGCTTGTACTCTGGGCCTGGCCTCTGTCCCTGAGCTCTTCAGCTCAAAGTGAGTGCTTCTACCACTTGAGCCACAGTGCCACTTTCAGTTTTCTAATGGTTTATTGGAGATAAGTCTCACAGACTTTCCTTGCCCGGGCCGGCTTTGAACCACGATCCTCAGATCTCAGCCTCCTGAGTAGCTAGGATTACAGGTGTGAGCCACTGGTGCCGGCTGACATTTTTCTTTTTAAAGTCATTTGTTCTGATGTGTTAGCCCTTAATTCTCGGGTACACAGTTCTCTTTTCTCATTTAAGGGATGATTATAGCCAGAATAGTGAAACGAAATCTGGCTGCCTTACCTGCTCACACAGATGCTCAGATGTCCAGGCCTATAAAACAGGAGTGAGATGGTGCTGCGGCAGGGGCACTGCTTTCCTGAGCTTGGTTTTACATTTATGGTTTTGAGTTGAAAAGCAACCATCCTAATCACAATCACAGGATGCCAACGTACATAGGAAAGTTGTGTGCTCATTTATTAGGTGTCTGGGCCTGTCTGAGCTTATTCCACATCTGAGTCATGTACGTTCTCAGAGCAGGGAAGGCCCTCAGAGATCTTTTGGACAAATCCTTACTTTGTTGTTTTGTGGTTTTGAAACTGGGTCTTGGTAGGTAGCCTAGGCTGGCCTTGTATTATAGATTGGCCTCAAACTCAATCCTTCTGTCCCAGCCTCCTAAATTACTGGGATTATAGGCAGGTACCATCACACCTGGCTTCCATTCTTGGAGAAAGGAACTAAGATCCCAGGTCACAGTGATAAAATAGTAGACCCGTCCTCAATGTGTGCAGCCTCACATACAGGAAGGGGGCTTGTCTCAACTTGGATGGCTTAAGTCAAAAGTCTCAGAAAATTGCCAAGGGAATAACTTCCCACAGGCTGGCTGGGGGCATATGTGTGACTGCCTGTCCTCAGACAATTCTCTTGGGCTTGAATATCCTACCAAATGCTGAGAAAGCATTGCTCACTACTACAGCTGTCCCTTATTCACGTGTGTGTGTGTGTCCCCAAGGATTTGAAGAGAGAGAGAGAGAGAGAGAGAGAGAGAGAGAGTGTGTGCGTGTGTGCGTGCGTGCGTGTGTGCGTGTGTGTGTGTGTGTGTGTGTGTGTGTGTGTGTGTGTGTGTCCCCAAGGATTTGAACTCGGCCTGGGCACTGTCCTTGGGCTTTTTTGCTTAAGGATAGCTCTTTACCACTTGGGCCATAGCTCCACTTCTGGCTTTTTTGTGCTTAGTTGGAGATAAGAGTCTCATGGACCTTCCTGTCTGGGTTGGCTTTGAACCATGATCCTCAGATCTCCACCTCCTGAGTAGCCAGGATTACAGGCATGAGCCAACAGTGCTTGGCTTCACCTTACTTCTGAAAACTGTCTTCCCAAGGGTTATAGCCAACTAGCTCTCCTTGGTTGGGAAGTGGTTAGACCTTGGGCTAAGGTTGATCTGCAAGATCAGAATAGTAACCTGAGAAATCTGGATCATCGTAACTAGTGTTTTCTAAATAATTGGGTAAGAAACTGCGTCAGGATTCACTGAAGTAGCCATCACAGGCATAGAGCCCACTCCGTACTTCCTCAGATCTGAGCCACCTGTACCTGGTTGGAGACTTTCAAACTGAATTAGGACAGCGCCATTACACTAGTTCTATCTGCAAAAAAAAAAAAAAAAAGCTTTCCTATCTATGATTTTATTGGGCACTTTGTAGGACAGGCAGTAGAGTAAGACTGGCAAAATCACCTCAACCTTGTCTGTGAGAAGACTGCCCCGGGGCTGACAGTTTTAATATAATGGTTAAGATGTCGTGCAGAGGGGTTCCCATTTCATGGAGTTGACAGTCTTAAACCACTGTTAACAAGTGACAGAATTCCAAAGCCTTCTCGTTTCTTTCCTGGCATTTAAACCTAAGATCTAAACTGGGGAAGGACTTGATCTTTCACTTTGGCTTCATTCACCTATAGACTTTCTAGAAGGATGAAGTTAAGTCAAAAGTCTCAGAACTTGAAGTTACTGTAAATGTTAGGTTGTCTGTCTTGGGTTCTCTGCTCTTGGGAGCAGCCTTCCTCAAGGGTGAGAACCACACATTATTAACAGTGGGTGTCATTTTCATTTCTTGTGCCCCAGGAAGGCAGCAGGTGCAGCACAATGACAGGAGGCCTCAGGGGGCAAGTAGACTGACTTTATTTCAGGTTTTATAATCAATTTAACTCATACTAATTGGTTGGATAATGGCGTTCTACATTTCCACAGACATTTAGTTGGCATCTATAAAAGAAACCCCACAAGCGTTTGCTAAGCAAGTGCGACTGAAACCGAAAGATGAGTTCATTAATATTACGATTGTTCCTAATGGGCAGAGCTACCCAGTGGCCCCAGGTCCTGTGGTCTTTGAGCTTTTTTGTTTTGTTTTGTATTGTTTTTTAGAAATGGAACTGGGATACGCAGTTTCTCTCAGGTAGAATTTCTGGCCATTTCCAGATGTGTGCTCTTTGTCTTGCTAAGCCCTTTGTAACAGGACGTCAGGTTTGGATACTGTACCTTTGAAGCCTTTGTCCATAATGTATGTGTTCTGACGTCTGTCCATTCCACAAGCACCTGCATACAAATCATACAAGGAAAGAAAATGGGGCGGTGAGGTTTTAGATTGCCTGGGGATCCTCCCCTCCCCTTTTTTTTTCCCCTTTTCTCTTATCCAGAAAATAGTTTATTGCTAGAAAACCTGAATTATTTTGAGCAAACAAGACTTCTTAACATAAGCTACAGCGCCCCCTAGCGCACACAACCTTCCCTTTAGGGGAATACCGAAGGCAAAGTTCAAGGCTCCACTTGTAGAGTACAGATGCAGCTGTACTAGTTAATTACTAATGTTAGGGAAGGATATGATGTTCCTAATTCTGTCCTGTTGGATTTAGGAATAGAAGTGGGGACAGTTTCTCACCTGCCTCAGCTATCTCCTGCCTGGCTCAAAAGAGAGGCAGACATGTCACCAGGTTCTTGATTAGTCATCTTTATAGGAAATACATTCATTCTCATCCATAGCCGGCTTACTCACTTGCCATTTAGGGGGAGAGGAGCAGACTATTTGCATATAGTTGAGACTTTTTTTTTTTGGGTGGGGCATGAACTCAGGGCCTGGGTGCTGTCCCTGAGGTTTTTGTTATTGTCGGTCATGGAGCTTGAACTCTAGACCTGAACACTGTCCCTCAGCTCTTCAGCTCAAGGCTAGTACTCTACCACATGAGCCTTAGCGCCACTTCTGGTTTCCTGGTAGCTTATTGGAAATAAGAGGCTCATGGACTTTCCTGTCCAGGCTGGCTTTGAACTGTGATTCTCAGATCTCAGCCTCCTCAGTTGGTAGGATTACAGGTGTGAGCCACCAGCACCCTGCTTGTCTCTGAGTTTTTTCACTCAAGGCTAGCACCCTACCACTTTGAGGCAAAGCGCCACTTCTGCTTTCTGGTGGTTAACTGGAGAGAAGAGTCTCACAGACTTTCCTGCCCAGGTTGGCTCTGAATCCCAGTCCTCAGATCTCAGCCTCCTGAGTAGCTAGGATTATAGGTGTGAACCAGTGGCACCTACTGCCAATGGTTTTCAACTCCAAGAATTCGTTACTACCCTGTGCTGTACTGTGCTATCTTTTCCCAGGCTCCCACAATGCCTGGTCTTGAGCTTCACCAAGAAGCAGAGCTTTCAAGCTTCCCGAGCCAAGCTTGTATTCTCTGCTACTGGTGATCCCAGAAGAACAAAACAGTCTGACATTCCCACGTTGAGACATTAATGAGTGACTCAGTCAAAGCGAAGTCCCTCCCTCCTTTATTCCCCAATGCTGAACTGAGGACAGGATACCAAAAAAGGCATCCAGCAAGTGCTTACTAAAGTACAGTTTGGCTGCACTTTCCCAGGTTCCTGACACTGAAGACCAACCACTGCTGTCTGGATACCTCTTCCATGTGACTCTCAAGTTGGATTATAGGGGTTCACTCGGAGCATCTGCTTTATACAACATATTACTGAGTGACACAGCAGAACAAGGCCCAGGGTTTCCTAGAAGGGTTATAGGCTACCTGCACCCTTTGGAAATATGACTGCAATGGTTTGTAATGCTGCCGTCTGTTTGGCCCTTCATTATTGGCAAGGGCTTCCTTTGCCCTCCCTGAAGGAGAACAGCGGGGCTGTTAACTTTGTGTGTGTGTGTGTGTGTGTGTGTGTGTGTATGTGTACTGGTCCTGCGGCTTGAACTCAGGGCCTGGGCACTGCTCTAGAGCTGCTTTACTCAAGGCTAGTCCTTTCCTACTTGAGGCAAAACTCCACTTCCAGCTTTCTAGTGGTTAATTGGAGATGAGTCTCCTGGACTTTCCTGTCTGAGAGCTGGCATTGAACCAACATCCTCAGAACCTAGCCTCCTGAATGGCTAGGATTATAGGTGTGAGCCACCAGCACCAAGCTCTTAACTTTTTTTTTTCCTTTTTATGAAACAAGTGTTAGAAACTTGTTCAAGTCCATACCAGCAAATGTGAAGTTGAGTTGCAGTTAAAGCTCAGATCTCCCCTAAGTACGCTGCCCTGCTAGCATTCTGCCTGCCTGTGAGCTAACAAATGACAGTGGGTGGTACTCTCGCTCCCGTGGTTGTGGGCTGAGGTCTGTAAAGCAGAGAGGAATCTGGCCTGAGTCCAAAGGATGTTCCCATTCTGGCCAGAGATACCATACCGTGTTGAGGGGTGGCGCCTCATTGAGTGCCTTACTGTTCAAGGGACCCACAACAAATAACACAGCCTGCTTGGCCTGGGCTTAAATTCCTTGCTTCCCATGCCTGCCCCAAAGTAGATGATTCAGACTCTTGATTCCCAGTGCTACCAGTGCCAAGGAACTTCAGGGATTAGTAGAGATGCTCACTTTCTCCTTGAGAGTTACAGCCAGTGGGAGCCTCAGCTCAGGCTGATGACCTAGAAAAGCCATGTTCTTTGTTCATTCATTCTTTTTTTCTGTCTGTCACAGGGCTTGAACTCTGGCTGGGCACTGTCTCTGCAAGTTCTTTTGCTTAAGGCTAACTCTCTACCACTTTGAGCCATAGCACCACTTCTGGTTTTCTGGTGGTTAAAGTCTTACAGACTTTCCTGCCTGCGCTGGCTTTGAACCACGATCCTCAGATCTCAGCCTCCTGAGTAGCTAGGATTACAGGCATAAGCCATCAGTGCCCGGCTGCATTCCTTTGCCATTTTGTAATTCTTTGCCCTGATTTCAAGTCTGACTTGCCGAGTCCCCTTTGCCGTCTCTTTCAAGATACCAGGTTGGAGCTCAAGGAGTATTGATAGATTCTAACCCAGGTTCTCCAGATCTTTGCCCAACCACCCAATCTAGTGTTTGAAAGAGAGCTCAGTTTAGACCACTGGTAGGTCTAGGGGGTCTCTCTGGGGGGGATATTAGGCTTTGGGGCAAGAGAGCCAACTCTTATCCATACCAACAGGGCCCAGAGAAACCCCAAAGGTGTTGACATCCCTGTCATTTCTCAGTGCTTCTAGGTCACGATTTGAGAGCTGTAGGGCGTGCAGTTATGACTTGTGCCCTCTACCAAAAGTAGCTTAGTTCATCCACACCCACCTACATGGTGAGAGCAGAGGATGATGGGGGGGGGCTTTCATACAGGCTGCCTTCTTTGGATGGGGCATTGGTGGGCGACTAGATCATGTTAGGAAGGAGGCCTCTACAGCAAAGAGTTCTGGGACAATGCGGGTGGTCCAAAGGGCAGGGATGGAGAGTAAAGCAGGTGCTGGGGCCTGGTCTGGGGGTGGGGGGGGTAAGGGGGAGGGCTGGGGGGTCTGACCTGGTGAGTGTGGCTCAGCGGGGCGGCTGAGGTGTCTAAGTTCAATGTAGAAGTCCTCGGGCGGGTACCTGGCCTCCAGGGCACTGATCTGGAAATGGGAGTCTAGTGAGAGGAATGACAGGGAGGAGCCATTATTCCCAAGGTCTGGTATGGCTGGAGAGGGGTGAGAAGGAGTCAGGAGGCAGGGTCAGGGGAGAGGCAGCCTGCAAGGAATCCAGGCCCCTGGCTAAGCACTCAAAGGAGTCTGGGCTGGAGGAGCCTGTGGCGTCGGCCACAGCTGAGGCCATCTACCTTTACTTCCCGCCACCTCCACTTCTACCAGAACAGGTGCCCCCCAGGGCAAGAAGCCCCTTGAAAGGGGTACCTTGGAAAGGCCTGGGTCAGAGTTCCTTTTCCATCTTGAGTCCTTATAACCCAGCCCTAGCTATCTCCCTTGTAGTTCCCCAGGCATAACTACCCATTCCCTGTACTCTTAAAGAAATGGAGGTGGCCCTGGGCTTCAGTTGCTAATGACAATCAAAATGGGCCTGGGTTTCCCCCCCCCCCTATATCCCTTCTCCTGGGGGAAACCCATGCTTAGAACCTGTAACCCTCTTCCTTTGAGCTGGGACAGGGCCTCCCAACACGGGAGAACAGGGGAGGACATGATAGGGAGGACCAGACTGAAACCACTACTGACCTAACACGTTCACATAGCTGTAGGGGGTCCAGCCTGCCGTGTCTCTGTCAAGGGACTTGTTACTCAGCTGTTTGGAGAGTAGGAGAGCCATTAATAACCTAGTGGCCCAAATGCCCCTCCCCAGCTGCCACTCGGCCCAGCCCCAGATCACCAACCCCTGGACCATTGAGGGAAGAGAAGCAGATGTTGCCTGAGGCTAGTGACGTCAGAGCCAACCAAACTGTTAGGCTGCAGTTCGGGGATTCCCAGACGACTTTGTATGGCAAAGGGGTAGGGACAAGATCAAGGCCACTTTGTGTATATTTGTGTGTTCCAGTCCTGGGGCTTGAACTCAGGGCCTGGATGTTGTCCCTGAGCTACTTTTGCTTTAGGCTAGCACTCTTATCATTTGAGTTACAGCTCCACTGCTGGCTTTTTTTGTGTGTGATTAATTAGAAATAAGAATCTTGGATGTTTCTGCCCCAGCTGGCTTTTTCCTGATCCTCAGATCTCAGCCTCCTGAGTAGCTAGGATTACAGGTGTGAGCCACTGGTGCCTGGCAGCAGGGCCTCTTAAGAGCCAAGAATGCCTGAACCAAGCTGGTCCTGAGTGGGGAAGCAGGTCAGCTGAGCCCAGATTGAGACTTGGGCAGTAGGAATCCCCTTTCCATGGCGGAGGGCAAGCCCCAGGGTGGGGGGTGGCTTACAGTTCAGTTCTTCCTCTCCGTGCATTCATTCTCACAGCTGCCCTTTGTATAAGGCCTGATGCTATCATTTCTTGCCTGGGGACCTGAGTCCTGGTTTGTGGGCCTTGGAGTGAGCCTGACAGCCACACTCACTTGAGGGCTTCTAGGCACTCAGTGCTCCTCTTTCATAGGGATTAGGCTGACAGTGGCCACGACCACTGTCCTTGAGTCTGTTACTGTTGCTGTGGAGTTTGGGCTGTAATAATCCCAGGTCTCTGGCAGGAAATGTAATGTGTAGTGCTGGTAGTCATTCTCCAAAGGGCACACAAGGTGCTGCAGAGCTGCTGGTGTATGAATGCTATGCCCCGGGCCCAGGAAAGATGTTCTAGAAAGCCAGTCTGTCCACTCCCCCAGTGGTCGTGCTGTTTGGAGTGTGTGTGCATGTGTGATGTGTGTAGGTAGATGTCAAAGAGTGTGCAGCATGAATCCATTACACCTTGCCATGTTCGTTTCTGTTTTTGGCAGTACTGGGATTTCAGCCTTGGGCCTTGTGCTTGCTAGGCGGGCACACTGAACCAGGCCTCCAAGCCCTTTTATTTTGCTGGTCCTGGGCTTGAACTCGGCCTGGGCACTGTCCCTGAGCTTTTGTGCTCAAGGCTACACTTGAGCCATGGCTCTGCTTCCTTCTGGCTTTTTGTGATGGAGATAAGAGTCTCACAGATATTTCTGCCTAGGCTGGCTTTGAACTGCGATCCTTAGATCTCAGCCTCTTGCGTTAGCTAGGCACACAGGTGTGAGCCACCAGTGCTTGGCTCCAGCCTTTTTCCCCCCTACTTATTTTTGAGATCTGATCTCTTCTCCCAGAGGGCAGGCTTCCCGTTGTAGCTAGGATGACAGGCCTGTACCACCATGCCCAGCTTCTTTCTTTCCATTGAGATGGAATCTCTTGAACTTTTATGCTTGCACTAGCTTGGAACTATGATCTACCAATCTTAGTCTCCCCAATCTTAGTCTTCCATGTAGCTGGAATGCTAGGTATGTGTCACTGCACCGTTATTCGTTGAGAAGGGGGAGTCTCATGAACTTTACTACTCGTCTGGCTTCTGAACCCTGATCCTCCCAAGTAGCAGCAAGGATTACAAAAGTAATTTCCCAGCCTCTCAATCATCTTGATACAGATTCTGGCACATTACACGGTGTACTCCGTTATCTTCACATACAGACTGAGACAACTAGGCCAAGGACATCTAGCTATATTATCAGCTAGGTTATGCTGGGAGCTGTCAGGGAAGGACCTGTCCAGGAGACTGCATACTTGCCCGACTCCCTGTTTGTAAGTGGGGGTGTGTTTCTTTCCTGAGCAAAGGGGAGGGCTCAAAGAACAGTGGAAGCTGGGGAATCAGGGACCCGGTACCTTGGTGGGGCTGTTCCTGTCCAGAGTGCTGGCCTGGCTGGTGGCAGGCCCCCCGCACGCCAGTGAGTGGCAGCTGGCATTGGAAAAGCACTGGGCCTGGCTGCTACTTTGAGACAAATCTAGGAAGAGAACAAGGTGCCATATTCCATCATATACCTGCGCTGGCATGAGACACCCCCCCAAAAAAAAAATAGTACAAGGGCTGGGATGTTGATTGATTGTACCCTGCAAAATGACACCTGAAACTCCCCTACCCCCAAGCTTCCTGGAGTTCACTGTGCCCCTGTCTACAGAGAGCCTGTGGTGCTTCCATCCTGTGGAGGAATGTGGGCTCCGCAGGCTTCCATGTCCCCGGGCTTTCATTTAGGTCTGGGGTAACTCTTGCCCTTGCTTCTTTCCTAGGGTCAAAGCATTTTGTTCCTGTTCCTCAGGAGTCCAGAAAAAAACCTCCACAGGCCTGGGGGAATGCCCAAGGAATGCATGGGAAAATCCATCCTTCAGTTCTCATTATAGAAGAACACACACACACACACACACACACACACAAAGCAGATGTTGGCTTTGGCTGAAACCCAGGGGACAAGATCTGCACTTGGGGCACCTCCGTCTGTGCTGCCATTCCTGCCGTGGTATATCGCATGCAGCACTTAGTAGGAATGGTTCAGGAGGCTGGAAGCCAGCCAGCTAGGGAGATCTAACAATCCTGTGCTCACCCAGGCCGGCCTATGCAGACGTCTGTGACCAAGAGACTCTAGGGTTCAGAGCATTTTGCCTTTTACTGTTTATATTAAGCCTGTCTTTGTCATCACAGCACCAGCCCAGGGCTCACTGGAGAGGAAGCATCTGGCCAGCTGCCCCAGGCTGACCCCCTCCAGCTTCCTCCCACATTGTCTTAGTGCTGGTCAAACTTTGCTACCTTAATTCCACTAACAGGGCCTCCTACATCAGCTGCTCAGCTGAGGCTGCAGGAAACACCCTGTTCCCTATCCTCATGATGATCCAGCAGAGAGGTTAACTGTGCCATCCACAGTAACCCCCAGCGCCCCCCCACACACACACGATGTGGCCCTTCTGCATTATGTGTGTGGACGAGGCATGGGGAGTGCCACACTCAGCTTACCTGACAGGGAGTAGTCGGTGCTGGTCATCCGCATGGCAGGGGTATAGGAGACACGGGGAGCCAGGTCCCGGCCCTTCTCTTTCTGTCGCCTCCGGCGCCAGGCGAATAGGCCCAGTAGCACCACGATTAGGAATAAGAGCAGCACGATGCCCGTGACGGCGCCCACCGAGTGCCGCTCTGTGCCCAGAGCCGGGCTGATCTTGGTGTACGGATTCAGCTCCTCCATCATGAGGGCAGCTGCGGGGAGAGGGAGGATCTGAGCCTAGGGCCAGCCTGCTTGCTCTTCCCTTCTCCTGGATCTGGAGTTAGAAAACCCACGTGACCCCCAACCCTCACTGTGCCTCAGTTGCTCAAACTCCTACAAGGGGAGAAAGTTGTATGTATGTGAAACAATGAAAACGGCCTTTACAGCTGGGTGCCAGTGGCTCATGCCTGTAATCTTATTCAGGAGGCTGAGATCTGAGGATCACAGTTCACAGCCAGCCCAGTTGTTAAGTCCATGAGACTCTTATCTCCAATAAACTATCAAAAAGCCAGAAGTAGAGCTGTGGCTGAAGTGGTAGAGAGCTAGTTTTGAGCAAAAGCAGCTCAGGGACGGTGTCTAGGCCCTGAGTTCAAGCTCCAGGTTTGGCACACATGCTTACACAAAGGCCTTCATGATTTCTTTTTCCATTGATGAAAAAAAGCAATGGGTTAATGTAACTCATCCAAGATCATAAAATAATTGGCAGTCAGGAAAAAACCAGAATCTACCTCTCTGCTTACCAGCTGTGGGACTACCCACAGTTTGGTAAATTGTAAGATCGGGACCATAAGGGGGTGACCATAAGGGGGTGACATTACTCAAAAAGAAATGTATTTATTACCTGATTTATGTAACTGTAACCCCTCTATATCTCCTTCATAATAAAAATAAATAAGGGACCATAACCTACCACCACCAAGGGGTCACGATCATCCAATACTAGCTAGCGGGCTGCCTGTGTCTATATGTGTATAGGCCTAGACCCTCTGCTGCTGCTTGGTCCAGTGTGGGGGTCACCTTCTGGCTCCCCAGCTGCCAGACCCCTCCTTGGCCATCAGCAGCTGGCTGAGTGGGGCTACACAACTACTACCACATTGTTCTCAGTGATCACAGACACAGACTGCATGGGCATGGCTATCTTCAAGGAAATGACCTGCCCAAGAACACTTCATAGGCACAAGAAAAACCTGGCAGCTAGTCTGTCTTTCCTGAGCCCTGGCTTGTCTTAGGGGGGAAGCTCACCAGGGATGAGCACAGGGAAGCCATGACACTAAACTGTCTGCTGTCTCCCAACCCTCCCTTCTGAGTGAATAAAGGGAGGAGTCCTTAGAAACCCACTCACGTGGTAGGAACTTCTGGAGTCCGCATGGGATCACTTTCCCACAGCCCTTGCCCCGGTACTCTACCCCCTGCATATTACCTTGGTCACACCTGATTCCCTTGAATCCAGGGCTGCAATAACAAGTGCCAGTCACGTGGTCACAGGTGGCGTTGTTCATGCACTCACACAGCTGCTGACACCCGTAGCCAAAGGTTCCTGGGGCACATCCTGTGTGGCAGGCAGAGGGCAGGCAGTGAGATGCAGCCGTCCTCCCCTCCTGCTCTGTGGAAGGGCGGCCATAGGTATATTCCAACTCAGAGTAAAAGCCTGTTTACCTATAGCCCAACGGTGTTGCATCCAGCATATGAGGATGGACAGAGTATATGGCCCTGGTGGGGCAGGATGCAACAGAGGAGAGGGCAGAACTTCCTCTCCCCTACACCTTCCTCCAGCACCTCTAACCAGCACTCTCCCTGGACTGGATGCCACAAGAGCTTTAAAGAGAACCCAAGAGCCAGGCACCGGAGGCTACCACCTGTCATCTTAGCTCCTCAGGAGGCTGAGATCTGAGGATCAAAGTTCAAAGCCAGCCCAGGCAAATAAGTCCATGAGATTTATCTCCAATTAACCACCAGAAAAGTTAAAAGTAGAGCTATGGCTCAAGTGGTAGAGCACTAGCCTTGAGCACAAAACCACAGAGACAGTGCCAAGTTCAAGCTCCAGGACCGGTACCCTCCCCTGAAAAGAAACAAAAGAATGATGACTGAGCTCTGGGAATATGGCTTAGTGGTAGAGTGCTTGCCTAGCATGCACGAAGCCCTGGGTTCCATTCCTCAGTACCACATACACAGAAAAGCCTAGAAGTGGCACTGTGGCTCAAGTGGTAGAATGCTAGCCTTGAGCACAGAGAGGCTCAGGGACAGTGCCCAGGCCCTGAGTTCAAGCCTCAGCACGGCAAAAAACAAAACAAGATCTGGCCTTCCTCTAGTCCATCACCTCTTCACACTTGCTCTGCCTTCAAGGTCCATGGCCCCAAGTAGAGGAAGTGATTCTTCAGGCATGATTTCAGTCTGTTTCCCTAGCAGTAGCCACAAAAGTCAAAACTAGGGGGCAGTTTCCCTGCGGGAGCCATAGACTTGGTCCCAACTCCAGGATCGGGTTGGGTTGGCTTACTCTGTTCACAGTGGCGCCCGGTGAAGCCTGTTCGGCAAGTGCACTTGCCACTAATGTGGTCACAGCTGGCACCATTCTGACACTGACACACACGCCCACAATCCTTTCCGAAAAACGCTGCTGGACAACCTGGAGGAACAAGATCTCAGGTCACAGTGGCGGCAGGAAAGATGGAACAAGTGTGGGGTGCAGTTGGGCCCCTCTCGACTTCTCTAGGGGCTACAATAAGAACCTGAATCAGTGCCTTCTGAACCCTCCACACCATGCTGGTGGGGTATGTGGAGCTTCAGAAGCAAAGGCCAGGCCCCATCTCCTTGCTGTGCATGACGAGTCTGGTCTGGCTGAGGGTTGGAGTACTTAGTCCTGTCCCTACCCCCCACATTGGAGTCCAGACTCTTCCCTCCCTCAGGACAGGCCATAGGCAAGGGCTCTGCCCAAGATGGCCAGTAGGTCGCAGCACAGGATTGGGAGTTGCTGAAGCCAGGAGGCGGGGCTTACGCTGGGTGCAGAAAAGTCCCGTCCAGCCTGGGGTGCAGTGGCAGGTCCCGTCCTCTGCGCTGCAGGTGGCTCCATTGTGACAGCTGCACGTGTGGAAACAGGCAGAGCCCCAGAAGCCTGGTGGGCATGCTGTGGGGGATGGGGATGCAGAGGAGGAAGGCAAGGTGGAGAAAGGAAGGGGAATCAGGCGTCAGATCCAGGATGCCAGGATGGACATGATGACCTTTCCTGGCTGTCAAGGGCTTGAGGCTCTCATCCCAGAGTTCCTTTATTTGCCTCTTGGTGGCCCAGCCTGGGGGGCCCTTCTGTGTGTCCCCTCTAGGGGGACCGGCTGATTTGAAGCATGTGGGTAAACACTAGCTTACAGTGTGTGCCAACTTTCCCACAGGCCCAGCCATCTAACTGGGACTGATGGCGTCTCACCATCAGGATGGTAAGTTATCCAACAGGACAGAGACTAGGTCCCTTCCCCCTTAAACTGGGGGGCTATTATCTGTGCATCAGACCGGGCCCGCCTAGTCTGAACACATGCACTATCCAGGCCTGGAATGGCCAGGACATCATTTATCAATATCATAAAAATTCTAGCATGGCTGGGTGCTGGTGTCTCATGTCTGTCATCCTAGCCTCTCAGGAGGTGGAGATCTGATGATCCCGGTTCAAAGCCAGCCTGGGCAGCAAATGAGACTCTTATCTCTAATGAACCACTAAAAAGCCAGAAGTGGAACTCTGTGGCTCAAGTGGTAGAGTGCTAGCCTTGAGCAAAAGAGCTTAGGGACAATGCCCAGGCTCTGGGTTCAAGCTCCTAAATCAGCACACACACACACACACTTCCAGCATGCCAGACCTTGATCCTACACACACACACACACACACACACACACACACACACTTCCAGCATGCCAGACACACACACACACACACACACACACTTCCAGCATGCCAGACACACACACACACACACACACACACACACACACTTCCAGCATGCCAGACCTTGATCCTCTGCCCCAGTACAAACTAACTCAGACTGCTGAGTTAGTTAGAATTAATTCTTGGGATTAATAGCGTTAATGGGACTGTCAACAATATCAATATCTTTAACACCATCATTTAACAATATGCATGGTCAGTCTTAGTAATGTTAGCTAGGGAGCAAAATAGGAATCAGGTGGCATTGCTATCTGCAGTGGGAGATTTCAGCCCTGAAGTGGGAGGTGTCAGGGCAGAGAGGTTCTGACTGGAGCATTCATGGGGTGGGCAGTGAGGGTGAGGGGCTTACCCTGTGAGCAGTCCTTGCCAATCCATCCAGGGAAGCACTGGCAGGAGCCATCGATGGGGCTGCAGGTCCCGTTGTTGGCACAGGAACAGAGCTGGGCACAGTCCTGCCCAAAGTGCCCTCCAGCACACACTGTGGGCACAGGACATGGCTGGCACCTGCCCTCCCACACATGCCACCACCCACAGCTGTGCCCAGAGGTTTCTAGGCCGCAGCCATGATCATCCTTCTGCACCTAACTGCTTAGTGTCCCTCATATCCATCCTTGTAGCCTGCAGGAAACTGTTAGGAGCTCTTACAGAGGAAGGGGCTGGGCATGTGGGTGGAATCACTTGACAGGCTGGAAGTGGTGGGGGTGGGCGTGGCTCCTCTGTGCTCTGTGCAGCGCCTTTGCTTCCCATTGCCCTTGCTGTACCCTACCCAAGCCATGATGGATAGAAGTGCTTCACATAAGCTGGGGGTATAGCTCAGTGACAGAGTACCACTCTGGGCAAGGCCCTGAGCTTCACCCCAACACTGTGCAAATGTTTCCCAAATATTAATTCACTTAACTTTGTAATGCTGTCATTATTATATGTCCTCATTATTCTATGGCTAACACCGCCTTACCGATGGGGAAACTGAGGCACTGGAAATGTTCAGCAACTTACTGGCTCATACAGTGTGTGTGTGTGTGTGTGTGTGTGTGTGTGTGTGTGTGTGTGTGTGTGTGTGTGTGTGAGTGTGTGTGTGTGTGTGTGTGTGTGTGTGTGTGTTGAACTCAGGTCCTGGGTGCTATTCCTTAGCTTCTTCATTCCAAGCTGACACTTTACTACTTGAGCTGCAACTCTACTGGCTTTTTGGTGGTTCATGGAAGATTAGAATCTCATGGATTTTTTCCCCCTGCCCATGCTGGCTTTAAACCTCAGATCTCAGCTTCCTGAGTAGTTAGGATTACCAGTGCCTTGGCAGCTCAGTACCTTTGAGCCAACCACATCAGCCTGTCTGTTTCTTGGCCTTTGAAACAGGGAGAGGAACCAAACCTGATTAAAGGTTTCCCTAATTTCCAGCCAGGTTCTCATGGGCAGGATGACCACACCGTCCTTGTTTACAGCTCATACTCACCTTTCAAAGCTTGCAGAAAAATCAAAAATCACCCATCCCCCCTTTCCTTGCCTCTGGGAGATGCTTTATATGGGGGAATCTACCAAACCCTAGACTCATTTCCATGGGGAACAGGATGCTGGAGCTTACCCCCACTCCTCTAAATCTCCATCCCCAACACAGACTCTTAAGAGTCTCTATCAGGACAGTCTTTTCTTTGAAGTCTTTTCTCACATACACAAGACTGACACATTCACCCGCAGAGCTGCTAATGCGATCAGTCTAATACATTAATTGGTCGACTTCTTCGTTGAATCAAGAGCGAGGCAGGGGTGGGTGGGCAGCGTGGCTGGGAATAGAGGTCTCTTGCAAAGAAAACATCTGGTTATAGATTTAATCTATGTTTAATGATTCTGCACAAGTAGTGTCTGTAATTTGTAACTCGGTGGAAAGCCAGTCATTAGAAAAGTGTCAGTTCAATTTTTTACAAGGTTTGAGACTTAACCAGGGCAGTTGCCATTAATAGCAAACTCTATTAGATCTATATGTGGAAAATACTCATTAGGCCAATGGGCAATAAATCAGACAACGAGGATTCGAGAGAGACTCCTCGGGCTGCCCGGGCCCTAATTTAGACCGGGCCTAGCTATATTGACGGGCTGAGTCTCTGATGTTTAATAAGTAAACCTCAGCCTGTCGGGTGATGATTAAACTCTCCTAGGAGGGTTTCAAGCAAATGAAACTGTCACATCTGTTTCCCTGGGGTCTAAACTTCTCATGACCTCAATGCATCGTGGAATCAACTTTCCACTCATACATATTAACAGGCCTCCCCGACTCAAATAGCCAAGCTCAGCAGGGATAATTCATCAAAAGAATGGGCTTCCCCTGAGAGGTAGTGAGCTCTCCATCAAGAGAAGTATTTCAGCAGAGGCCAGATGTGATCCTTGCCGAGGTGACCTTGTAAATTGCCACAAGCTCTACATTTACCTCTGATCCCTTAAATTCTTCCAGCTGGTATTCAAGGTTATATCCAAAGATGTTCTCAAGGCCCCAGCCTACTTTTATCAGCCACCTTCCCCTTCCATCTCCAGCCATTCACGACTGGCTGGGCAGGTCCAGGTCCAGTCTCTGAGCTTCTCCCAAGCTGTGCCTTTCACTTACATGGCCTGGAGCTCAGCTAAAATCCTGCACAGCCCTGCACCTCCCCAGACCATCCACACATGACGATCGGGCCCTAAGTAGCCACATGTGAGCGGTGTGTGTTGGGGCCAGCTTTTGCCTCCCCACTTCTTGCTAATGGTGAGGAATCTTTGTGAATGGTGTTATTAAAACACTGGGGTGGGCTGGAAATGTGGCTTAGTGGTAGAGCACTTGCCTCACATGCATGAAGCCCTGGGTTCCATTCCTCAGTACCACATACACAGAAAAAGCTGGAAGTAGCGCTGTGACTCAAGTGGTAGAGTGCTAGCCTTATGCAAAAGAAGCTCAGGGACAAGGCCCAGCCCTGAGTTCAAGCCCCAGGACTAGCAAAAACAAGCAAACAAAAAACCCAGTGGGGCAGAGCTGGGAGCTGGGAGCTCATGCCTGTAATCCTAGATATTCAGCAGGCTGAGATAGGATTATTTCAAAGCCAGTCTGGGCTGGAAATCCAGTCTGCAAGGCTTTATTCTTCAAATAGCCACCAAAAAATCCAAATATGGAGCTGTGGCTCAAGTGGTAGAGTGCCAGCATTAAGTATAAAAACTCAGGGACAGAGTCCAGGCCCTCAGTTCAAACCTAGGACCAGCACATGTGCACACCTGCACAAACACACACAAAAACCACTAGTATAGCCAGGTGCCATTGGCTCACACCTATAATCCTAGCTATGCAGGAAGCTGAGATCTGAGGATCACCATTTGAAGCCAACCCAGGCAGGAAACATTCATGAGACTCTTATCTCCAAAGCCAGAAGATGAGCTGTGTCTCAAGTGGTAGAGCACCAGCCTTGAGTGAAAAGCCCCAATACCAGCACAAAATAAATAAACAAATAATAACTACTGGTACTTTGAAGCCATGGTGGGAATATTTTATCCTTCAGAAACTTGCAGACATTACAAAGCATGACATTTCCAGGGCGACAGTGATCAAGATGCATTATCCTCATAAACTGATGTGTTGAATTGAAACCCCTCGTGTTTTTGTACAATTACTTTGGATAATAAACATCCCCTCCCCCCAAAACAGAAAACAAAGCATGGCTTTTCTATATAGATGGCTGGTGTGTTGGCAAACCAATACTGGTGAGCTTTTTTTTTTTTGTCGGTCGTGGGGCTTGAACTCTGGGCCTGGGTGCTGTCCCTCAGCTCTTCAGCTCAAGGCGAGTGCTCTACCACTTGAGCTACAGCGCCACTTCCAGTTTTCTGGTGGTTTATTGGAGATAGGAGTCTCACGGTCTCTCCTGCTCGGGCTGGCTTTGAACCGCGATCCTCAGATCTCAGCCTCCCGAGTAGCTAGGATTATAGGCGTGAGCCACCAGCGCCCGGCTTGGTGAGCTTTACCTCCCTATCCAACTCCTGCTGAGGGTGGTGGCAGCCTGGAGTTGATGGTATGGAGTCAAGGGTGATATAGGACAGCATCCTGAGCTCCAGGGAAGTCTGTCTCCAGCCAATGCTAGAGCTGTCCCCATGCTCCTACAGCTTCTCTTGCCTTTCTTTGTGCCTGACACTCAGCACAGACACTAGGTATCTCTTCTGCTGGGTACCTGTTCATGTCATTTTCCCCTGCCTTTTGTTTTTTGGGTGGGCCATGGGGCTTGAATCAGGACCTGGGCGTTAAGCCTGAGCTCTATTGCTCAAAGCTAGCACTGTCCTACGTGAGCCACAGCGCCACTTCTGGTTTTCTGGTAGTTATTTGGAGTTAAGAATCTCAAGGACTTTCCTGCCATGGCTGGCTTTGAGCCTCGATCCTCAGATCTCGCCTCCTGAATAGCTAGGATGACAGGTGTAAGCCACCACTGTCCGGTTTATTTTCCCTGCTTCTGGCAAAGCATATTCGGAGTCCAAATTCATTTCTGCTACTTGTTAGCCTTGAGGCCACAGGTGTCATTTTACCTCTCTGTGCCTGTCCCTTTCACTACGTAATGGCATTCACTGTCTCCTGCCATGTGGTACTCCATCATCTTTCCTCCCTACCTGCCTTGTGCTTTCCCCAGCTGGTGACAGTACCTTGATTGCAGAGGGCTCCAGAGAAGCCCGGGAGGCACTCACAGACACCGCTGATGTGGTGACAAGGCCCGCTGCTGTGCACGCAGAGGGGGCAAGGCTGGGCGCAGCCATGACCATAGAATCCGGGGGAACAGACTGAAGGTGCAAGGGAGAGGGTGATCAGTAACCCAATGGGAGCCCCACGCAGTCGGACCACCCCTTCTGTTCCACATTGCAACCAAGGGAGGGCTTCAAAAGTGTGGGAAGAATCCTGGTGCCTGTGGCTCACACCTGTAATCCTAGCTGCTCAGGCTGGAGATCTGAGGATCCCAGGTTTGAAGCCAGCCCAGGCAGGAAAGTCTGGGACTCTTATCTCCAATTAACTACCAAACAAAGCTGGAAGTGGCTCGTGTAATAGAGTACCAGCCTTGAGCACCAAGAAAACTTGAGCAAGAGTGCAAGGCCCTCAATTCAAGCGCCAGTATTGGTGTACACACACATGTCCACAACATGCACACACACACAGAGTGTAAAGAGTTGTATCTTCTACTTGGAAGGCCCAATTCATTTATTTTATTATTATTATTATTGTCTTGTGGTGGTATTGGGGTTTGAAGATTTCAAGTTTGCTAGTATTTCACCATTTGAGCCACACTGTTTGCTTTAATTGCTTTTTCAGACAAGCTCTTGCAATTTAGTCCTTGGCTACCTCTGGCCATGATCCCCCTCCCCTCCCTTTGCATCCAAGCAACTGGGATTGCCAGGCACTGGTGGCTCACACCTATAGTCCTAGTTACACAGGAAGCTGAGATCTGGGGATCACTGTTCAAAACAAGCCTAGACAGACAAATCCAGGAGTCCTTGGTCTCCAGTGAATCAGCAGAAAGCCAAAAGTAGAGGCTGATACAAGTGGTACAGCACTAGTCTTGAGGGAAATAGCTAAAGGGGAGCATGATGCCCAAAATTGAAGCCCCAGTATCGACATACACACACACACACACACCAGAAGAAGGAAAAGAAAAAAAAAAAGGTAGGATTACAGGTATGCACTACTGGGCCTTGTAATTCAGACAGGACCTGCAGTTTGGTCCTGTTTCTACCAAGGAGCTATTTGGTCCATGAACAGCAGCCTGTGCAGGGAGAGGACTAGAGAAAGAGGGGGACTAGTCCCCAGAGCCCAGCCCCCAGGCTGGGAAGGGCTGGGGAATGAGGCACTGTGTGAGGTCTTGAGGTCCCTCGATGGGGGGGGGGGCTCAGACTTACTTCTCTGACACAAGGGTCCTCGGAAGCCAGGGGCACACTCGCAGCTTCCATCCTCCGGAGAGCAGGAGCCGCCATTCTCACAGCTGCAGGAGATGGAGCAGTTGGGGCCCCAGCGACCTTGGGGACACGTGCTGTCGCAGCGGATGCCTGGGGGGGTCACAGGCAGCCATGAGTCAGTGGTGAGTGGAGGAGAGCTGGGAGAAGAGACCGTGACCAGACAGAAGATGATAGTGGCCCTTGCCTTTTGCACCTCACCTGGCCCAGGAGAAGTGGACATGAGCAATGAGTACCCTTAGGGGGCGCATCTGTGTTAGCCCGAGGGCTGCTGGGCCTTGTTGGGCTCCATTGCAGTCACCTGGGCAGAGAGTGGGTAGGCTCTTTCGGATTCTTTAGATCATAGTCCTCAATATAATGCATGTATTTTGCATCATATATACACTTATGTATAGAAGAAATCTACTATTATTGACTTGTTTTAAATGAGTCAGAACCCAACAAACTGATTTTAAGGAGCCTCGGTTTGATAATTAGTAGCATCTAAGGGCCTGGATAGAATATCCCAGTAAGGAGGAAAAGTAAGTCAGGTGCCGTTACTCACACCTGTAATTCTAGCCACTCAGAAGGCTGAAATCTGAGGATTGTGTAATGTATTGTGAGCTTGCTGGGACAGACAAATCCTGGAGACTCCTCTCCAATTAAGCAGCAAAAAGCCAGAAGTAGAGGTAGGGCTCCAGTGGTAGAGCAGCAGCTGTGAACAAAAATGCCAAATAAGAGTGTGAAGCCCTGGATTCAAGCCACAGTACCTGGGTAGGGAGGGAGGAGAAAAAGAGAGAAAGAGAGGGTGAAGGGAGAGAGAAAGAGGAAGGGAGGGAGAGAATCAGAGAGGGAGAAAGAAAAGGAGAGGAAGGGAAAGGGGGAGAGAAAAAGAGGGAGGGAGGGAGGGGGAGAGGGTCAGGGGGTAAGATCTATGGTCCTTCTGAGCTTAAGTAGAGGAAATCTCAGCCTGAAAGCTAAGAAAGAATTTTAAAGGCCCTAGGCTGGATGCCCAGCTCTGAGGCGGGCTTTCCTCCCAGGTAGAAAGGCTCCTAGTCTGCTAGGCATTAGATGAACAGAACAGAGACTCAGGAGACTAGCTGGGGCTTTGGAAGATGACTATCTGAGGCTCTAAGAAGAGCAGAATTAGTTTAAAAATCATGCCTGCCTTGTTACAAGGAAACAGAGGCCCAAGAAAGAAAGAGGGAGAAAGACTTAGGTCCCAGCACACATGCAGCAGTAGCAAGAAGAGTAGCAGTGGGACCAATTTGAAGCCCAGTGCACAGGCCCACCTGGCCGGCCAGGAGGGGAAGGGAGGAAGAGGCCTTCAGGGAGGGACACAGCTCGCTCTCCTTACCCTCCAGGCTTCCCTCCTTCCCTGAAATGGTGTAGTTTTACTGAGACATGCTGCTGCTCTCTGGGAAACAGGGTAGGGGCTTCCCAGGGTAAGGGATGCGGCAGGGAGGGGGTGACCCCCTTTCCCAGTGAGAATCTGGCAGATCTATCTCCAGTGATGGAGGTGTCTGTGTCTGTGTGGGGTTTTTGGTAGCTGAGATATGAACTCTAGATAGGGCATCAGGGGTTGACTTAAGTTTAGTGCTTTAAAAACTGTGTGTAATGTCATTAAAATCTGGTCAGCTCCCTCAAAATGAAGACAATGAAAAATTAAAGCTAGGATTAAAAGCATTTGCCACTAGTACCCTGCCATTGTTTTATTTGTTATGGTGGTACTGGGGCTTGAACTCAAGGCCTCATGCTCTGTTTTTACTTTGTTTTTCCTCAAGTGGTAGAGACCCCTTTGAGCCACAGCTCTATTTCCAGTTTTCTGGTGGTTAATTGGAGATAAGAGTCTCATAGACTTTCTCCTGCCCTGGATGGCTTTGAACCATGATCCTCAGATTTCAGTCTCCTGAGTAGCTAGGATTATGTAGGTGTGAGCCGCTGGTGCCTAACTTCCATTTTCTTTATGAGAAAACCAAGGATCAGAGGCGGAAGTGGAGCTGTGGCTCCAAGCACTAGCCTTGAGCACAAAAGCCCAGGCCCTTAGTTCAAGTGCCACGATCAACAATAACAACAAAAAGTTTATCGAGAGGTGTAAGAGCAAGGGCCCAATTCCACAGGACCCAGGTCCTCTGGCTGGGCAGAGGTTACCTGTCCATCCTGCTAGGCAGCAGCAGTGGCCCGTGACAGGGTCGCAACCATCAGCATGGCTGCAGTCACAATGTTCGGTGCAGTTCAGCCCAAATGTGCCATCCTGCGGAGCAGAGAGGAGAGAAATGACCAGAAAGTTCCAGGCTGTTATTGGTTTGGGATGACAGAACTGAGCCACAACCCCCACAAGGGGAACACAGTGGGAAGGCCTCTTATAACTGGGCATTAAGAGGGTCATGTCCCCCGGGGCTGGTGGCTCACTCCTATAATCCTAGCTATTCAGGAGGCTGAGATAGGAAAATCATGCTCCAAGCCAGTTTGCATAGTCAAATCGGAGAAGACTCTTATCTCCAGCTAACTAGCAAAAAGCTGGATGTGGAGGTGAAGCTCAAGTGGTAGAGTGCCAGCTTTGAGTGTAACAAAAGACAAGAGAGAGTGTGAGGCTCCAACACTGGCACAAAAAATAAGGGGGCTGGGAAGGTGGCTCAGTGGTAGAGCACTTGCCTTGCATGCCTGAGGCCCTGGGTTCGATTCCTCAGCACCACATAAGCAAAAAGAAAAAAGCCGGAAGTGGCACTGTGGCTCAAGTGGTAGAGCGCTAGCCTTGAGCTGAAGAGCTGAGGGACAGCGCCCAGGCCCAGAGTTCAGGCCCCACGACTGGACCCAAAATAAAAATGAATAAATAAAATAAAATGGGCATAAAGTCACTCCAAATAACTATTTAGCCATATTAACAAGAGAATGGGGACTGGAGAGGAAGATGATAATCTTAACCCACTTTTTTTTTTTGCCAGTCGTGGGGCCTGAACTCTGGGCCTGGGCGCTGTCCCTCAGCTCTTCAGCTCAAGGCTAGCACTCTACCACTGGAGCCACAGCGCCACTTCCAGCTTTTTCTGTTTATGTGGTGCTGAGGAATCGAACCCAGGGCCTCATGCTTGCAAGACATGCACTCTACCGCTGAGCTACCTTCCCAGCCCTTAACCCACTTTTTAATGCTAGGTTAAGAGGGCTAAGATTATTAGTAATGTAATGATGACAATTTGGTTAATATTAAACTGTCAATGAAGCTAGGCACTGGTGGTTCATGCCTGTAATCCTAGCTACCTAGGAGGCTAAGGTCTGAGGATCACAGTTCAAAGCCAACCTAGGCAGGAAAGTCAGTGAGATGCTTATCTCTAATTAACCACCAAAATGCCAAAAGCGGAGGCATGGCTCAAGTGGTAGAACACCAGCCTGGGGTGAAAAAGCTTAGGGAGCGTGTCCAGGCCCTGAGTTCAGACCCAAGTACTGACATCATAAACAGTCAATGATAATGCATGTCGTTGGTTATGACACATATCCACTGTGGGGGCCGACTGTGGCTTACTCTTTGCTCCTGGGGGGGGGGGAGAAAAAAATGGTAACTATCACTGGTCATGTGCTTATAAGGTAACAGGATGTGCAAAGTCAGGATCTGAATCCAGGACGCAGAAGTCCATCTGCACTCAATTTCACAGCAGTTGGTTTAAAAGATGGAGACCCCCCCCAGTGAGCAAGTCTGGGTGGTTCTTGCTGGACAATACCCCCAAAACCAGATCAGGGAAGTACAGACCCTTGAAACAGACATTGCCAGGACATCACTTGGACGTGGCCTGTCAGGACACAGCGTCTTTGCTGGCTTGGGGACTGTCCAGAGCCCTTCTGAGAATGATCCTGGGGCCACAGCTGACAACCATGCTGATCATGAACAGTGGGAAGAGTGGCATCTCTGTCTGCCCAAGACTTGCCATTTTACAGATGGGTAGGTTGAGGCCAAGGTAGGGAAAGCAAAAACCCAGAGGTAAGGAGCAGCTGTAACCTGAAGCAGACTTCACCACCTCATCCAGTGCTCTCTTGTGTGCATTTCCCAGGATCACCCCAGGGGAGGGGGAGGAGGGAACTCACCGGGCAGGGCAGCTCGCAGCTCTCCCCCAGCCAGCCTGGGGTACAGGCACAGGAGCCATCGGTGGGACTACAGGATGCCCCGTGGGCACAGGTACAGCTCTCATTGCAGTTCAGGCCCCATGTCCCACTGGGACATGGCAGGGAACAGTCCAGGCCCTGCCACCCTGGGGGGAGGGGGGGACAGAAAGGGGACACCATCACTTCTGCAGGTTCTGCAGGGCTTTCCGTCTGTGTGCTGTTGTTTCTCCATGTTCCATGGAGAACACAGCACAGAGGTCTTGGAGAGCTTGGGGCCCAGGGCTTCCTGTAAAGAGTCTGTTCTGCTGCAGGCAGCTGGGTCCCAGCACAGAACAGCAGCTGAGTGGTAGGTTTCTTCTCCCTTGGGGGCTCAGCTGAGCTCATCAGGACCCTGTGCTGGTTGGTGACAGGCAGCTGTCCCTTCTCTGAAGTGGCCACTGGCAGCTGCCCTCACCTTCATGTATTTATTTCCCTCCTCCCCTCCTCTATCTGTCACACAGGGGCTGATCCTGCAGGCTACCTAGCTCCTGGAAGCTAGCCACTGATAGATTAGCCCAAGTGGACCTGGCCCAAGAACCAGGGACAGCACAGAAGCCAGGTTCTCCTGCTATTTCTTTGGCTGGGACTACGCCTTTTTTGGGAGGCTAAGTACTAGGGTTTGAGCTCAAAGCCTCTGTGTTGTTTCCCCGCCCCCCCACCTTTTTTTTTTTTTTTTTCCATTTAAGGCTGGTGCTGTATCATGTGGGCTACACCTCCACTTCCAACTCTTTTTTTTTTTTCCTGGTTCAATAGAGACAAGAGTCTCATGGACATTCCTGCCTGGGGCTGGCTTCGAACTGTGATCCTCCGATCTCAGCCTCCTTGGTGGCTAGGATTATAGGTATGAGCCACTGGCACCAGCTTTGTTTTGGGTTTGAGACAAGGCTTTGTTCACTGTGTAGCCCAGGCTAGCCTCAAACTCAGATCCTTCTCTCAGCCTCCCCTGTACTAAGATCCCAGGTATATACCACTCCACCCAGCTTGGCCCAGTCTGATGGCAGTGGCTGTGTCTCTTTTTGGAACACGGACACTGCTCCAACACCTCTCCCCAGTTCATGTCAAACTCTTACCAGGTAAACCTCCCCCCTCCCCCACACCCCCCCAGGATCTGGAAGTTCTACCTTGTGTCTCTCCCTTACACATTCCTGCCATGCAGGTTCCTGGCACTGGCTTTCCTTAACTGGAACCTGTACAGGTCTCCTGGCCTTGAACAGAAATGGGCGGGATGGGGGGGGGTGGAAAGGGGGAATTGGGTAGAAGCTGCCTTGCCAGAGCCTGAAGTGGACCAATCACCTGGGCCTGGGGGCGGGGCTTGGGCCAGGCACTTTACCTTCCTTGCAAGTGCAGGAGCCATCAATGGGGGAGCAGATGCCATCGTTGTTACAGCTACAGACAGAGGAGCAGTTGGGGCCATAGGTCCCTGCTGCACAGGGCACTGTACAGATCTCTCCCTAGAAAGAGAAGGCATGAATTTGGGGATCAGAGGTGGCCCCACGCTGGGTGCTGTGGCAAGCAGAAAAGATGTCCTCATGTCCTCTTCCCAGACTGTCAGGATGGTCCCTTACATGGCACAGAGGACTTTGCAGATGTACAAAGATGTGCAGATGAGAGGACTTAATGGAGAGAGTGGCTGGGATTTCCCAGGTGGGCTTAATGCAATCACAGGAGTCCTTAAAAGTAGACGATCAGCCAGGTGCTGGTGACTCACACCTGTTATCCTAGCTACTGAGGAGGCTGAGATCTGAGGATAGTAGTTCGAAGCCAGCCAAGGCAGAAAAAGTCCATGAGACTCTTACTCCAATAAACTTCTCAGAAAAGCCCAGAAGTAGCTCTGTGGCTCAAGTGGTAGAGCACTAGCCTTGAGCACAAAGAAGCTCAGGAACATCTCCCAGGCCATGAGTTAAAACCCCAGGCCTAGCCAAAAAAAAAAAAAAAAGTAGACAATCAAAGTCAGGTATCAATAGCTCACACCTATAATCCTAGCTACTCAGGAGGCTGAGATCTAAGGATCACAGTTCCAAGCCAGCCCAGGCAGCAAAGTCAGTGAGACTCTTTATTTTCAATTAACTACCAAAAAGCCTAGAAGTGGAAGTGTGGCTCAAGTGATAAGAGTGTGCCAGCCTTGGGTGAAAAAAAAGCTCAGGGACAGTGCACAAGCCCTGAGTTCAAGTCCTAGCTTATGTTGTCTTATACCACTAAATCTTTGTTATAGCAGCAGTAGAAAGCTAATACAATAGCCCTTACCAGAAGTACCTAAGGAACTGACCCCAGGAGTCCATGTTAGGTCAGAGCAGCATAGAACTTACTCTTTGCCTCCTAATCTTGTTTAATTCTTACCAACAACTCCATAACACACACACAGTAAGTTGTCCCTATGTACCAGGACCACAAAGACAGGCTAGGCCAGGAGGATAGACAAACAAGCATACAGGCCTGCACCAGAGGCCCCATCTCCTTCCCCTGCCAGGCCTGACTGTGGTCTGCCAGCTCCCCTGCTGTCTGGAGAACTCTCATTTCTCACAGGGCCTCAGCCTGGGTTTGAACTGTAGGCACAGTGTAATCCTCTTTCCACTTGGGGTTGCTGAAGACAGAACGGATTTATCTCCCAGCCCCTTCCCAGTCTCCCACTCTTGTGGGCCCAGCCTTGGGTCTACCAATGGAGCTCCTAGAGAACTCTTCCCCTCCCTGCCAGGGGACGTGGGGCTCTTAAGTACCTGCTGCGCCTCCAGGAAACACCATCAAACTAAAAGCACTAAGTTGCCTACAGAGGAGAAATTCAAGCCAGGCACCAGCAGCTCATACCTGTAATCCTAGCTACTCAGGAGGATGACATCTGAGGATCGTGGTTCAGAGCCAGCCCAGGCAGAAAAGTCCGTGAGACTCTCCTCATCTCCAATGAACCACCAGAAAAACAGAAGTGGCGCTGTGGCTCAAAGTGGTGGAGTGCTAGCCTTGAGTGGAAAAGCTCCGTGACAGTGTCCAGGCCCTGAGTTCAAGGCCCACAACCACCACCACCAAACAACAAAAGGGTACATGGACTTGCCTGCCCACACTGGCTTTGAACCTTAATCCTCAGATCTCAGGCCCCTCAGTAGCTTGGGGGCCACCAGAGCCGGGCTTGTCTGGCTGTTTCTATATCCACCCCAATCCCATCTCCCCAGCCCAACACCACAAATCCCAGGAGAGGATGTCTGCTGGGAAAGGGGGGCGGGGCTTGTCTTCATGCTGTGAATCAGAGATGGCTGTGAACTCTTCCTCCCTTTCAAAGGCCTGTTAATTATAGATGCAGCATTGGCTATTAACACCCTGAACTTGATTTGAAGGAGCCACTGGCAGCACAGAACCCTTGGAGCTAGTTCTTGTAAAGAGATGCAAATCTCTCCTCCAGTCTTCTACCTTCCTCCCTCCTGGCACAGTGAGGCAGTGCCCGGTGGGTAATGAGTTATATGTTCTATTAAATTTGTTTCAAATGTTGTTTATTGAATTTTCTCCTCGGCAATATGCTGCTTTGTAGTTTGTTCCTGTTTGGGAAAATTAATCAACAGCTGGGCTTCTGTTGATCACTGTGCCCCTTACAGTGGGCAGGAGGTTAATGACAGATTTTCTTGGAGTGGGCAGAGGAAGAGGAAGAGTAGGAGGAGGAGGGAGAGCATTTGACCCTTCTTCACACAAAAGGAGGCTATTCTGGAAGTTTATGTTGGACTCCCTTAAGTGTGCTCTGCTTAAGCAGATCTGGTATTCTAGGTCCCAAGTAAGGCAGCAACCTGTCAGTCCAGAAGAGATCAGCAGAGAGGACTTGAGGACCAGCAAGCAGCAAGGAGGAGGCAGAATAGGTCAGAAAGGAAGCGGTCCTGAGCCTGGGTCAGAACCCATAGTTTTCAGCATCCATCCATCTACCTACCAATCTATCCATCCACTCATCCTCCATCCATATCTACCACCCATCCATCTATCTGTGTACCTACCCATCCATCCATCCACCCATTCATCTATTTATTTACGTACCCATCTATCCATTCATCTATCATCTATCCAACCACCAGCCACCCACCCCATCCATCTATTTTGCATTCATCCATCATCCATCCATTTATCTATCCATCCATCTACCCACCCACCCATCCATCCATCCATCCATCCACCCACCAATCCTTCCTCCCTCCATCCACACATCCATCCATTATTCATCCATCCATCTTTATACCCACCTACCTACCCATCATCTATCTATTCATCTAGGCATTCCTCTATCCCATAAACATGTGCCAGGCCACTACCATGGGTCTTGCTAATGACCATGATAGATCAAGGCTCTCTTCGTGTTCCTCAACTCTCCCCATCTTCTTACACCCCTGTGTGGCACTTTCCACTCTTGGAAAAGAAGCACTTTGAAAGTTCTGTGCGGGTGAGGCTAGGGTGGGCTTAACCAGCCTACCAAGTAGCAATGTCTTTGCCTGTAACCTGTGTTCAGTTCATGCATGTTGGATTAATTCATACATCAGGGAATCTTTTGTGTGTGTGTGTTCGTACTGGGAGTTTGAACTCACAGCCTTGTCTCTTGTTGAGCTTTTTGGCTCATCGCTGCTGCTCTACCACTTGAGCCACACCTCCAGTTCCAGCTTTTGACTGATTAACTGAAGAGTCTTATGGATTTGTCTGCTGGGGTTGGCATTGAATTGTGACCCTCAGATCTCAGCCTCCCGAGTAGCTAAGATGACAGGCGTGAATCACTAGTGCCCTGTAGGAAATCAAAGCACTACTATGTATCACATGCTGTGCTAAGTCCAGAAGCTACCAGGTGAGAACACAGCTCGGATTCACTAACAGCCAGCTGGGTGAAGGGACTTCCCTACTTGGAAATGGTCTGGGAGCAGCTCTGTCTGATGGCTTCCATTGCCTCTCTCCCCTTTGACTCCTGGAATTTTGTGGCCACCAGAGGGCACCTTTGGGGTCCAATGTCACCTCAGTGCTAGCAGCACAGGTGTGGTGAGCTTTACTGTGTGCAAAGCCCCCCTGGCCTGATCCAGCAGCCGTGGGGTTGCTCTTCCTCTTGCTCTCCCTTCTCTGCCATTCTCGGCAGACAGCAGGACCGCAGGTAGGGAACCTCATTTATGGTGTTTCCTGAGAAAGAGATGCACAACCCAAAAAGGAAGAACAAGCTTGGCCCACCAGGAGGCATGGGGGCCTCTCCAATGCATACCAAGCCTCGCTGGACCTAATTAATGTGTCACTGATAAAGCAGCTGTGAGGCTGGGGAAAAGCTCTGTATGAGTCATGAGAAGCAGAGAGCCAGGGGGATAAGAGAGAGAGGGGGAGAAATGGAGGCCACTCTCACACTGATTCCCCTATCCTGCCTCCTTGTGGGAGCCGGTGGGGCTGAAGCCTGCCACCTGCCACCCATAAGAGAGAAGAAGAGGCTGATGTGAAAACTGAAAACACCAGCAACATAGTCTCAAATCTGTCCAAGAAGAATAGGCCACCAGTGATGGTACCTGGACAGTTCCACAGGGTGGGCATTTGCACAACTCTAGAGCTGTCACTCAGTATAGATTTGCGTACAGCATCAGTTTGCCGGCAAACACAGTAGAATGTTTTTGGTTTTTTGGTGTCAGCACTAGGGCTTGAACTCAGAACCTATGTGGTGGTACCTTAGCCTTCTTTATATTCAAGGCTGATGCTCTACCCCTTGAGTCACAGCTCCACCCATTAAGGATTAATGATAGGAATCAAAGTCTGTGATGATAAAATTTCATCCCCCGTTAATGATAGATAATAGTTCTTGGAATGACAGATTTTTATTTTTTAATTTCTTCTTTTTTTTTTTTTGTCATGAAGCTTGAACTTAGGGTCTGGGCCTGAGATTTTCTGCTCAAGGCTACAGCTCTACCACTTTGAGCCACAGCTCCATTTCCAGTTTTCTGGTGGCTAATTGAAGATAAGAGTGTCATGAACTTTCTTGCCCAGGCTGGCTTTGAACCATGATCTTCAGATCCCAACCTCCTGAGTACCTCGTATTAGAGGTGTGAGCCATCAGTGCCATCAGTGCTGGGTAGGTTTAACCTACCCAGACCAGTACACTATGCCTAGAGATCAAACAGAATTCACTGAGTCTCTCCTAGCTTTGGGCTACAACCAGGCTGGGACACTGGGCTGGTCCTGGGAGAGCATTCATGCTCCAAACCTCTTACACATAAGTAAAATTTGGGCTGAGGGCAGGGAATGTGGCTTAGTGGTAGAGTGCTTTCTTATCATGCATGAAGACCTGGGTTCAATTCCTCAGCACCACATAAACAGAAAAAGCTGGAAGTGGTGCTGTGGCTCAAATGGTAGAGTGCTAGCCTTGAGCACAGAGAGGCTCAGGGACAGTGCCCAGGCCTTGAGTTCAAGCCTCATGACTGACAAAGAAGAAAGAAAGAAAGAAAGAAAGAAAGAAAGAAAGAAAGAAAGAAAG